GCAGTTTGGTCAAACTCATGCTGGTAGCTTCAAGAACGCTGTCCAACCATCTCATCCTCTGTCGTCCCCTTCTCCTTGTGCCCTCCACCTTTCCCAACATCAGAGTCTTTTCCAGGGAGTCTTCTCTTCTCATGAGGTGGCCAAAGTATTGGAGCCTCAGCTTCACGATCTGTCCTTCCAGTGAGCACTCAGGGCTGATTTCCTTAAGAATGGATAGGTTTGATCTTCTTGCAGTCCATGGGACTCTCAAGAGTCTCCTCCAGCACCATAATTCCAAAGCATCAATTCTTCGGCGTTCAGCCTTCTTTATGGTCCAGCTCTCACTTCCATACATCACTACTGGGAAAACCATAGCTTTAACTGGAAGATTGCATAGATTACAAAGCCTGAAAGCATCCTGAGAGCCATTCCCTTTGGAGACACACCTGTGGACAGGTGCTCAGGCTCCTGGCCTTGCTGTGTCCCCTCCCATTTTCTTTCACCACCCCACCTCCATGCAACACAGCTTCTCTCTGTGTCAGGCTGTCAATGCACAGCTTCCTGCTCTGCTAAAAGTCGTTCCAAATCTTATTATAAAGGTTTCGCTTAAGGCGGGAACACGGTGTCTTTGCATGAAGGGGACATCGCCCTTGCCACCGTTACGGAAACTGCATCCCCTTTTGTCCTGCACCCCAGGCAGAGAAACAACCAGGACTTAGCCTCTGTTAAAAGTTCAAGGGTGTAAGGAAGCTTGTCTCTCTCCCTCAGCAACAAAAATGAGTTACTTGCAAAGTCATTTTCTTTTATGGGTTCTCCCCCCACTTCTTCTTCCAGTGAAGAATATCTCACGGAACCGGTGCTCTGTGGTGAGACTCCCTTTGCTTCTGTTGTGTGTGGTGTACTTGCATTTAAGGTAGTGGGTAAATAATTGGAACAATCTTGATTTCTTTCCCCTCCCCTTTTTAAAAAAGTATTTTTATTGAATATTATCCATGCAACCCAAATGACAAAATAGAACTTTGTGAGACAAATGCATAAAAACCAAACCCAGGCTGGCATGGGATGTTATATTCACAAGAAGAAATGATACAGCTGTTTATCTGGATATTTGCGGTTAGATACAGGCAGGTAACTGGAGAGTGAGGCACACAGCACTTGTAAGTTATAAAGAAACAGAAGCCTACAGCTGAAACCATCAGAGGCACAAGGAGTACCAAGGAAGAAAAGGTTCCATATTACATCAAGGGGGGGGGGGGGATCAGCCACTTAGATGCTACTTATCCCAAATTTCTTTAGAGGCTTGTAGAAGAGATAAATCTAAATTTCAGATGATGTCTTAATTTCCAAATGGCACCTGGTCCTGCCAGTTGAATTCTTATGTGCTGTTGTTTCTGTGAGATTCAAGAGCAAACAATATGGTTGGCAGAGGGCGAAAGCATGCATGAGAATCAGAAATGATTTTCTGTGCAATATTTCTAAGATAAAGAGGACACTGCTATTGCTATATTTATCTAGAATAGTAACCGGCAATACCCTACAGTAGGGGTGGGGAAACCTCTGGTCTGGGGGCCAAGAGTGATCCTCCAAACATCTCTGCCTGGCCCTCCAAGCTCTCCCCATGCCCATGGGACCTTCACAGGCCCAGCTTCAAACCCCAAATATTTTGCCTGGCTGGACTGCGGTCTTGAGTGTGTGCACAGCCTGCTGCGCAAAGGTAAAAAATAAATAAATTACATGTCTTGCTCTGCCCACTTTCGCTTCTTGGACTGCCAACCACTGTCATGGGACCCTTGGAACTGAATGTGTCCCTTGGGCTGGAAAAGGGCTCCTCGCCCCTGATCTATAGACTCAGAGTAGGACCATGAACATGGCTTACAGGAAAGGGTTTTGGCTCAGTAGTTGAGCACATCCTTTCCATACAGATCTCAAATACCATTCCTGGGAGCTATGAATTGGTTAAAGAGGTTGGCATTGATTGATTTAAGGGTAAATGAGCTGATATGTAGCGCCAATAATGCCCATCACCCAGTCAAACTGGGTAGCTCAGTTGGCTAGAGCATGGTGCTGATAACATGATGGTTGCAGGTTCAGTAAAGGCAAAGGACACCTGGATGGTTAATTCCAGTCACATTTGACTATGGGGTGCAGCACTCATCTCCGCTTTCAGGCTGAGGGAGTCAGCATTTGTCCACAGACAGCTTTTCCAGGTCATGTGGGCAGCATGACTAAACCGCTTCTGGTACAACGGAACACCGTGATGGAAACCAGAGTGCACGGAAACACCATTTACCTTCCTGACACAGCAGTACCTGTTTATTTACTTGTGGTGGTATGCTTTCAAACTGCTAGGTTGGCAGGAGATGGGACAGAGCAACGGGAGCTTACCCCATTGCGCAGATTCAAACTGCCGACCTTATGCTCGGCAAGCCCAAGAGGCTTGATGGTTTATACCACAGCACCACCCGCATCCCTGGTTTGATCCCCTTATGGGGCAGCTGCATATTGGACTAGATGATCCCTTCCAGCTCTGTTCTTTTAAGCCTAAATCTAAGCCCAGCATTGCAATTCCTGCCGATCAAAACTCCTGAGGCACCCTACAGTGAATGAAGCAAGTTGCCCGGGACCCAAGAACGGCATAGATGGGAGAGATGGATTCAGTGCAAGGAGATGCCATTGAAGAATAGGGATGAGAAAGTCAAAGTGCCAAATGCAGGAATTGCTTGATTATTGGGAAATGGCTATTGTGGTGATATCATTGACGGTTCTGATTTATCACCTAATTGCTTAGCTGTGGGAGGCAAGCCAGATGAAAAGAGTTATCATTTGAACAGCAGCACACAAGGTTTCATTTTTCATGCGACTCTCCTTTGTTTGGAACTGCATGACATCAGAGAGAAGAGTTAACCAATCTCCGGTGGCAGTTTTGCAAACTTGAATTCGCTGTCCTTAAGCTGTGAGAGGGACTGGAAAGTGCCATTAATCATTGGGACATGACATTGGATGCCTCCATCAGTCTGCTGCACACATGGAGCAGGAGAACTGAAGAAGAGCCTGCTGGATCAGGCCAATGTCCTAGCCAGCCTAGAATCCTGTTCTCACAGTGGCCACCCAGATGTCCCACTGGAAAACCCACAAGCAGAGCCTGAGCCCGCCAGTCCTACCTGTGGTTTTTCAGCAGCTGATATTCAAGAAGCGTTACTGCCCCAACTATGGAAGCAGAGCAGAGCCATAATGGCTAGAAGTTATCAGCCTTCTCCTCCATGAATTTATCCTGTGCTTTTCTAAAGCCATGTAGGGTAGTGAACATCACTGCCTCCTGTGGCAGTGAGTTCCACAGTTTAACTATGCTCTGTATGAAGAAGGACTTTCTTTCATCTGTCCTGAATCTTCCAACTTTCAGCTTCATGGGATATCTGTGAGTTCTAGTGTTATGAGAGAAAGGGGGGGGGACTTTTCTCTATTCACTTCCCCCATGCCAGGCATCATTTCATAAACTTCTTTTTTATTATTCTTATAATTTTATTGTTTATTTAAGATAATTATTACAAAATATAAGCAAAATGTTATAAATACAAACAAACATATATATTTCAAATAAGCACATATATATGAAAAAAGGAACAAAAGAGGAGAAAAGAAGAAAGAAGAAAAACAAAGAGGAAAAAAGAACATTTCCAACATTTCATTTCATAAACTTCTATTATGTCACCTCCTACCAGCCTTTTCTCTAAAGTTCCACATGCTAAATGGCAGGGACAGGGAGACTGTGGCCCTCGGCTGCCATCAGCTGTGACCACTGGCTATGCAGAGACTGATGGGAGTTGCAGTCCACTGACATGTGGAGAGCCCTGCCCAGATCCTCATCTCTTGAGGTAGGTCTTTGGTTTCTAACAAGCTCTACAGAGGAGATTCTAGAGCAGGGTTGGCGAATCTGTGGCCCTCTGAATGTTGCTGGACTCCAACTCCCATCACCCCCCTTCCCATTGCCCATGCTGCCTGGGTCTGATGGGAGTTGGAGTCCAACAGCGTCCCACAAGTCCCCTTTCCCTGGCCTAAAGGTTGGGCTTCTTTCCAGACTACTGATATCTGCTAGGTTTATATATATTTACAACAAGAGGTGCTCTCTTCTGAGCACCTGGATCCATACTTTTCCATATTGTCTCACATTTGTACACACAAACAGTACCTATAGCAAAGGAAAACATCTCTGCTTCAGTTGCCAGGAAAGGTTTGGCAGAATTCGAGGTTGGCAACACAAGCGAAAGCTGAGAATAGAGAGTAGGAGCCAAGCATCTGAGGCCAGCTGGCTAAAGCCAACAGACTAGAAGAGGTGAGCAGGATTGAATAATGGAAAAAGATGCCATGCTTTTCTCCAACCATGGGACATTTTGAAAGGCACGCAAGGTGAGCACGTGGATGGGAAAGAAGAGTCCGACATTCCGGTTGCAACCCTCTGTACATTTATCTGGAAGTAAACCCCGCCGAGCAGGGTGGCCCTTGCTTCCGAGGAAGCCTGCAGAGGTTCAGGCAATGCATGTCAGAGCCTCCTGCCAATTTTGAGAGACATCCTTGGCTTAGAGACCCTGTTCAAATCATCCCTAATGATGCACGGAGCTGCTTAAGGCGAAAAACCGAAGAAAGTGCTCACGTTCATATATTTAAGTTTGACTCCTGGAGGAGGTAATTTGTCATTTGCTTTTTAATGGAGCAGATAAACATGGACATCAAGAGTGACAACATGGCTCATTAGGTATGCCTCGAAGGTGGGGGGGGGCAGGGGCAGGAATCAGATGCCTGATCCTGTACAGAACAGAGGAAACATTTTTTTTTAAGAGCCATAAAATTAGCCTAGATTGTCTTCTTTGATCATCCTCTCTATTTCTTATGTTTAGGAGTGAGTGCCATTGTTTGGGAAGTTCAACTGGCATGCACACACACAGAAAAGAGAGGCAAGAGAAGGTAGGTACTTAGGTAGGTAAGTAGGTAGATAGGGTGACCTGATGGACAGCAAAAACAGCCCAGTAAATAGCTCAGCTGGTAGAGCGGAGGACTGTAGAATGTTTGAAATCGTCATCCGTAGGTAGCTGGTTCAATTCCGGCTCAAAGGACAATGTGTGTTTTTTAAAGCTGGGATAGCTCAGTTTTGGGCAAAAGATTCCTGCATTGCCGGAGGTTGAACTAGATGAGCTTTGGGTCCCCTTCCAACTCTACAATTCTATAAGGAATGCTAACTGGCTGTTGTGAGGTAGGAGGAAGTCAGGTGGAAAGGGGAATAGAATGGAGTATCATGAGGAGGCTATGTCTGGACCCCTGAACAGGAGCACTCCACACTCAAAGGTTTTGTTGCACGTCCCACTTGTATCAGAATAATGCAACCTTTGGGGATTTCATTGTGGTTGGTGGCTCTCCACCCACACACCCTCCTCCTCTTCCACCCACATCCTGCTCTTCCTGTTCTCCTCATTCCTCTTACTCTTCTCCTCCACTTGCTGCATAACCCGACAGTGCATTACCTCTCCTCTTGTACACAATAAAGGCCCACATTGAGGGCGCCACATGAACAAATAGTCATGCATTTCCAACAGCTTCGGATGCACCTCCGGGCCCTATAGAACTGCTTTGATACGTCTCTTGAGAGCCAGTGCACTATAATGCTTGGAGCGTATCCAAGCACAACCCCCAACAACCTAACAAACCTCTCTCTTCCCGCTGAGATGATTGTAATGCATTGCGCCCTCCAAAACACTTCAGAAACTGTAACTGGTGCAGAATACCACAGCAAGCGTACTGACTGAGCCTGGGCCTTATGAGCACATGAGGCCAGTTTCTTGCCATCCATTTCTGAGCCCAATAAGTAACTGTTGTTTTGACCTCTAAAGCTCTTTATGGCTTGGGAGCCACACTATCTGACAGACAGCCACTTCCCCTACGCACCCACCTGTGCCCCCCCCACAAAGATATGGCAGATGACCACTAGACAGAGGACCTTCTTAGTGGTGGCCCCTCATTTGTGGAAGGCCCTCCCCCAAGAGGTTTGCCTGGTGCCTTCTGTAATGTTGTTTCAGCACCAGGAGAAAACAAACAAACAAACAAAAATTCTCACAGGCCTTTAAAATATAACCCTTTTGCAATTGCTTTACCTCTGAAGTGTTGAAGCTGTGATTGTATATGATGTTTTCTTGTTTTTTACAAGGACGCCTGGGAGGCTGCTTTTCAGAATTGCATTTTGCACGGTGGAGTTTTGTCAGTATTACTAGACGCTGTGCAGGCCGCCCAGAGGATGCTGAGAAGCTAATTGGGCAACTAATGAATACAGCAACGTAGCCTCCTTGGATTTGCCTGGTCTCAGCACAGACAACACCACCTCTGCCACCTCTTCCCTTCTGAATTCCACCCTTGAACCCTTCCTTCCCTTTGGTGGGTGGCTTGTCTGTCTGTTTGTTTGCAGAAACGGATGTGTAAACACCCACCATGTCCCTGTCTCCAGCATTTCCTCTGCCCGCTGCCGCTTCTTTCTGGAGATGCACCTGCCGATGAAAGAAATAGGAAGCCCAGTTCAGAGAGGCAGATATCTCCTCTCACGCTCTCTTGCTGTGCGCTTGGAATGAGAGATACAGAACTGTCAGCCAGGCAGCCTTGACAGGGAGAGGACGGGCATCTGTGTTTTCTCAAGGCGACTGAGGTTTAATCTCTCGCCCACCCCGCAATCTCTCCGCGCCCCACATCGGCCGTCCTCCTCCTCTCCGTGCAGCCTCTGAAAGGCACAGTCTTGGCACACAAACCTCTCCTCTCCCCCCGCCTTCCTTTTCCCTTCCTGCTCATTCAGTACAGATGATGCTCTGATCACATGGATCAACCTCCCTCCTCGCCTCGCCTCCCCTCCCCTCCTCTCCACCCCTTTAAATAGCTATATTACCCAGATAAGTCATTTGTACTATACACAGAGAGAAAGGGAGAGGAAGAGAGGAAGCAGAAGCAGGAGGCATGGAGAGGGAAATTTAACAAGTCAAAGTGGCAGCTGGGGAGGGGTGGGGAGGGGCAGGTAGCAGAAGGCAGAGGTGGCTGAGAAGGAGGGGAGACAGGAGCTGCGTGGCTCCTCTATGCATCTTTTGTTGTAGCAAGCAGGAGGTGAGACGAGGAGGCTCCTCAGCATGGCCGAGAGCTCGCCAGCGTGCAAGCAAGTGGCGATGATGGCATGGACTGGGCAACTGTAGGAGCAGCTGCCCCCTTCCTCCCAGCCTTGGTACCACCGGCTGACCCCGGAGAGCCACACGAGGCACCACCATTTGCAAGTAAGTTGCCTTCCTTTCTCTCGCTCTTGACTTATTTCTCTCTCTCTCTCTTCCTTTGGCTGAGGAGGGGCTGGGAAGTTCTCAGAGCAGGCAAGTGGCAGCCGTTTGGGGAAAGGGAGAAGCCCAGGAGAGGACAATCCTACCCACACAGCTCCCTGCTTGCCTGAGGACATCTGGGGAACCCGTAAAAGCAAGCTAAGTTTCGGGTGGGTGGGTGGGTGGGTGTGGGGAGTTCTGCTCCATTGTGGAAACTAGCAGGGCCCAAATGATGCAAAAGTATCACGAAGTTGTTTCGGATGCTGGCCCTGTGTATGTGTGTGTGTGGCAAGGAGGGCAAATTAACAAGGAGGGTCCAATGAAGAAAGATGGGTTTGGAACTAAACCACTGTGTAGTTGGAAATGCACCCTGGAGGCACCCATTTCAGCCTCAGAAATGTTGCGTTTTAAGAAAAGGAGATTGTAAAGAACAGCAGGGACTTGTTAGCACAAGGTGTGACAATGCCCAGTAGTAGTCAGGAATGAGGAGAGTTGTAGCCCAACAACATTTCGAGAGTGCCAGGTTGCAGAAGGCTGGATCAGATGAGTCTCGGAGGATAGCTAAGGGGAATCTCCGGGTGCCGTATATGCTTTGAATACAAAGTGCTTATGACATTCAGTGGGGAGAAGCATCACCTTTGTGCCCTGCCTATGGGGCAGAGTTGGAACCAGACTCCGAGCCCTGGGCAATGTTGGCAGGATCCAGCAGGGCTCTGCTTTTCTGCTAGCATAAGAGATGATTTGGGAACTAACTGCTTAATAATAATAATAATAATTCAACTTGTTCATTGCTTGCTACCTAAGAAGGTCTCCAAGTGACTTCCATTTCAAAACAAACATGCATCTCGCTCCAACAATCCGACTGATCCCATGGATGAAGTGGATTGGAAAAAGTGTTGGGAACATAGAGTGTGTGTGTTTGAAGTGAGCAGATGGGTGTCAGAGGCAGTGGGAGCCATTGTGATCTCACAGGACTACAGGATGTGAGTTGGAAAGACCTGGATTCAAACCCCCTTCAGCCAAGGACTCATCAGGAGGCCTGTAACTGAGCTCCCATGATGGCAGCTGGCACCACGTTGGGGTTCCAGGAAGGGCTTTCCTTACATTCCTTCCTCCCAAGCTCTCCTGAGAACTCACCTTTCCCAGGATGCCTTTGGTTTAGCCCAACCTGGTGCCCTCTGGTGTTTGGGGCTACAGCTGCCATCAGCTCCCTTGCTGGCTGGGGCTGGTGGGAAGTGCAGTCTGAAACATCTGGAGGGCCTCAGGTTGGGGAAGGAAGGCTGCTGAACTGAAGTCTAAACCCATGTCCACATTCTTCGCTCATATTTATCCCAGGAGATTTTTGTTTCGCTCCTTCGTCTTTTCCTTCCCTCTTTTTTTCCTTCCCCACAAGGGACCAAACTTAGATGAGGTGGCAGCAGTCCTGTTTCATTAAACCAGTAGTGTATAAAAGGGGGAGTTCCAATTTTTAGAGGGGGGAGGGATCCAAGATCAAGGGAGCTGAGCCCGCCCCCCATTCCCTTCCCCAAAGATTCCCAGCTAACTATAGGTCTTCCAGGTGAGGCTCAGAGCTCAGCTGAGAAGCAGGGGAGGTAGCACAGGAGCCAGCTGCTAGGGGTGGAGGTCTCTTTGCCCCCCCATAAAATATTTGAGGGGGCCAGGGCCCCCAAAGTTGATGGGCATTGTCATTCAAATGGTGTGCGTGTGCCACATCCTGTGGGATGGGGCTTACCTGGGAACTCTACATTGTTAAGGGTGCTGGGAATTGTAGCTCAGTGTACAGTTCCCAGAATTGTTTGGGGAAAGCCATATGCTTTAAATATATGCTGCACATGCAGCCATTGTGACTGGAGAAGACCCAGTTATCATATCTAGTATGTCTTTGCCTAGACTTTGATTGCAAGCTTTTAGGGGCAGGGATTTCTCATTTTGGGGGTGGTCATGTCATGCTATGCATCAATACCACTAAACACTCCTTCTTGCTGTTGATGTTCACAAAGACAAATGAAAAAGTCATTTTGTTAAATTCCAGCAAGACCTAGTCGTGCGGACAAACAATGTCACCGTTCAGGCCATCTAAACTTCCCGCTGCTGCAGAAGTCACTCTCTCCCTGGCAAAACTGAGTCCAATAAACTGACTGCAAGCCAGTGAAGTTTGAATCAACCTGAGCCAGAGGTCAGTGCTGGCACGACGCCACTGGACCTGGCTCGACTGGGCTGGCATATGCTAGGAACTTAAGGGCAAAACTCTGTCCTGTGTGCTCAATATAGAGACAGGAGCTGATGCCTCCCACCTCCGACACCTGGCCAGTGAAGGAGGCGGGGCCTGGGTGCCCGCTGTCTCCCAGCAGAGGGCAAGGTAAGCTCACCAGTGGGCGATCCCCAAGGACATTCTACTGTGCAAGTCCTGCTGAAATGAATGAAAGACCTGAGCAGGTTGCATTTGGTGCAATGAGGCTTGTGCAGGAAAATATCCTAATGGATTGTGAATGTGTATGGATGCAGAAGGGGGGTCACTTCAGGCCAGGCGAGTGGGACTTGCTTCAGCCCAGGAACTGCATTCCCTTATGGAAGGGGGTGTGGTGGAAGATGCATGCCTGTGGCTGCAGGATCCAAAGGCAAAAACAGGCAGATGCAACTTTCATCTTTGTGTGTGATGCTGCAATCCAGCTGTGCAAAACCAGAGGTTTCTTTCTACAGAGAGAGAGAGAGAGAGAGAGAGAGAGAGAGAGAGAGAGACCATCTCCAGGACAAAGGATGGTGCAAAGAAAGGTCAGAGAGAGGTGTGGCTTAGGTAGAGGGCGTGGCCTGAAGAAAGTTCCCAGAGTTCAATGGAGAGACTGTAGGGTGGGGCACATTTGGCCCCCAGGTCTGAAGCTCCCAACCCCTGCTTTAGGTTGTTCCATTTTCCCTCTGGAGACCTGAATCCGCTCCAGTGGACCTTTTACATTCTGCATCCTTGAAAAGTGACCAACCAGATGTCCCATTTGGAAACCAGCAAGCAGGATTCAAGCACAAGAGCTCTCTCTCTCTCTCTCTCTCTCTCTCTCCTCCCATGGTTTCCAGCAACTGGAATGCAGAAGCTTTATGGCCTCCACCTGTGAAGGCATAGCATAGCCACGATGGTTAGTAGCCATCAATAGGCTTCTCCTCCATGACTTGGCCTAATCCTCATTTAAAGACATCTAGGTTATTGGTCATCACTGCCTCCCAAGGGAGGGAATTCCATAGTTTCACTATGCCTTGCCTGAAGAAGTCATTTCCATTTCTTCAAATAGGATGCCCCTATTTTAATCGGAGAAATGTTTGATGGTATGATAATAGTGAATGGGATTGGTAAGTGACAGGTGTTAAATCTCAGCCTTACCTTTTGCAATATTTAGCGAAGGGGCAAAGGGAAGAATCATTTGTGGTTAATTTGATGGCCACACAGAAGAAAACCTGTCACCAGAATTCCCGCCCCCCAACCCCCGTGTGTGTGTGTGTGTGTGTGTGTGTGTGAGAGAGAGAGAGAGAGAGAGAGAGAGAGAGAGAATTAGTGACGTCCTGGGAGTGGTTTGCACATCACTTGATTTTTCTGTGCTTAATAAATGCAACTCCAGGGATGAATGAAAACTGCACTGGGCATGGTGATTCTGAGGTGAGACAGGAGTTTTTTCTCTGTTTGTATTATAATCCCTGTTGGCGCAAGCCATAGTTGCGGCAGTTGTGGAGTGACAGATGGGGCAACCAGTATGATCCAGATGTTTTGGATGACAGTTCCCATTATGCCTGACCATTGGCCATGTTAGATGAGGTTGGCCCCCCTTGGCCTGCGTTCACTTGCAGTGGATCTTGAGCTTTCAGGCTGTGTGTGTGTGTGTCTCCAAGCCATACCTGGAGATGTCAGGGATTGAACCTGTGACCTTCTGCATGCAAAGCAGATGTTCTGCCCCTAAGATTCAGGGCCTCCCCAGTCCCATAATCCAATGATCTGGCTGATAATTCCATTCATGAGATTCTGTGCCCTTAACTCCCTTGGAACAAGAATTGACAGTCTCCTTATTATTGCATCCTCCCCGTTCTTTGAAAAGATTTCTTCCTGGTCTATGATTTTGTTTTAATTATACCCCTAATGTGTAAACAGTGAGATGGCATCAATCAGCAAGTGCGCTGCAAATATTGATGTACGGGGGCGAGCAGATGCAGATTTGGGGAGCTTTGCATTGCCATTCTGATACTGAGAACCTTGGATTTGGAACTAATTAAACTCTACAGAGGGCAGGTCAAGTAGCTGGCCTCATTATTCTGGCTGGATCTCTGTCTGGTTTATATAGAGAAAAGCATTTGTTAATTACTGCACTTGGTAGCACCACTAACACTGGCATTTATGCTTAGAAATGGTAATATTGGAGTTTCTCACTTTAACTCTTCCACTACCATCGCTGCCGCCGCTGCCAGTCAGCAGTGCTTCTGTCACACATTTCCTTGCACACACACTGCAAAAAGCCCTTAACCAGCTTACCTGAGAGATCACCATATTCCGTGCTATTTTTCTAGAAAAAGAGGTGCTGGAGCTCATTATGAACTTCTCCCTTGTTTTCTGAGAATGGCAATGGTTCCCATCTGAGAGGTGGCAGAGCTGAGCTCCTGCTGAAAAAAAGCCCTGACCTTATCCTGTATATGCCCATTTGATTACTTGGCTCTCACTGTTACAGGTGCCACCTTTGTAAGAAATCAATCTTTTAATCTTTTACACTTTGGAGCCTTCCCTGTACTCATTTTTGGCACCTGCTAAAAAATTTTGTCGTTTAGGCACGCCTATCCAGACATGTAGAACGTTGACATATGCTTTCATCTGTCTTTCATTTGTTGCTGATTTTATTTTTAATGTGTTCACTGATGATTTTATTGTTTTATTCTCATTGAGTTTGTTTTGCAATCAAGTGGTGAATGCATTTTATGAAGTAAATAAATGAAAGTCAGGTCTTGGGAGAAGGTTTTGACCTCTCCTACCCGGAACAAGCAAGCCTTAGGGTCCCTCGTTCATGCCTGCGTAAGTGAACCACCATGACATGTTCTGCTTAGGGACAGTGCTTAAAATTGTCAGGGGCTTCCTCATCCCAGCTTCAGCCAAATCGTGCCTTCTAAAAAGAGTAGTTATGCAAGCATTAAGGAAACAGGAAAAGACCTGTTAGATCTAGTCCAGTATCCTGGTCACACAGAGGCCAACCAGACGCCCATCATGGAAATCCAGCAAGTAGGATTTGAGTGCACAGTGCCTTCTCTGCTTGGGATTCCCGACAACTGGCATGCAGAGACATACTAACTATTTCAGTATAGCATGGCAACACAAGAACGGGGCCTTCTCTGCAGTCTGTGGAAAGCTCTCCCCAGAGAAGTTCGCCTGGCACCTTCATTATGCACCATTAGGTGCCAGGCAAAAATGTTCCTTTTTAACCAGGCCTTTGGTTGATTGGATTGACATCCTATGCCCTTTTTAAATGTGTGTGTGGGGGGGAGGTTATTGGGTTGTTGTTTTTATTTTGGTTATGGATTTTGTGGTTTTATATTTTGATTTTATTCTGTAAACCACCCTGAGACCTGTGGGTATAAGGCAGTATATATATTCCAATAATAATAATAATAATAATAATAATAATAATAATAATAATAATAATAATAATAATAATAATAGGAGAACACAGGCATCATGGCTAGTAGCCATTTATAGCCTTATCCTCCAAGAATTTCTCAGAATTACCCAAGATATTGGAGCAGGGGCAAGCTTGTTTTCTCCTGCTCCGGAGGGTAGGACCCGAACCAATAGCTTCAAGTTACAAGAAATGAGATTTCGACTAAACATCAGGAATAACTTTCTGACAACAAGTGCTGTTTGATGGTGGAACAGATTCCCTGCATACAAAAATGTGCTTACTTAAGGGAGATTTCTTCTGAAGAATTTTCCTCAGGGTATTAAAAAAAGGAAATTCAAAAATTGTGGCACAAATGTGGAGAGCTGAATCAATGGTGATTGGAAACTGAGAGAACAAAAACAGACAGGTCTTCCCATCCCTGATGCCAAGGGATCCTAGCCCCTAGGGGCTGATGGGAATTGTAGTCCAAAGCATCTGGAGCATCCTAAGCACCAAGTTAGGGAACGAGGCAGTAGGACCATCTTGTGAGCTTGTGTGGTATAGTGGTTAAGAGTGGAAGACTCGCAATCTGGTGAACCGGGTTCACGTCTCCGCTCCTCCACATGCAGCTGCTGGGTGACCTTGGGCCAGTCACACTTCTCTGAAGTCTCTCAGCCCCACTCACCTCACAGAGTGTTTGTTGTAGAGGAGGAAGGGAAAGGAGAATATTAGCCGCTTTGAGACTCCTTCGGGTAGTGATAAATCGGGATATCAAATCCAAACTCTTCTTCTTGTTGTTCAAGGCAGCTTTTTGACAGCCGGGACTTGAGTAGGGGCAAGCAGAGTGGTTTTAACCAGTATTTTTAATGTCACACCCCCCCACACACAAACAAACACCACTACTACACACATTCAGGGATTTAAACCTGCTATTTCTGCTCCACTTTGCGTTCTAAACTGTTCTGGCCAGTTCTCCACCCCAGAGGTGAAGCAGGATAAAAAAATTAAAAAACCGAACTACATCAAAATCAAATCAGAGAAAGAAATGGACATCTCTGCCTAGGTTTGTGTGACTTCTTGGCATCTGAATTGGCCCACTGCCTGTCCAGCTCTCACGGAAAATCGATGTATTGTTTTAATCCAATGACTCTGTTTAAAAGATGGGAAACTGTATTTCAGCCAGTATGTACAAACCTAAGAACAGCCCTGCTGGATCTAGCCCATCTAAGGGGGGGATCTAATCCTGTTCTCACAGTGTCCAACCAGATGCCCCAGTGGGCAGCCCAAAAGTGGGGCACAGGGACCCTCTCCCCTCCTGGGGTTTCCAGAAACGGGCATTCAGAGGTATTGCTGCCTCTGACGGCAGAGCCAGATCAGGGCTGTACAGAGTGGAAAGCTTTCTGAGAGCCCCGATGCTTTTCCCCAAAGCTAATGGAGAAAGCACGGAATGCTCCCTTCTTCCGCTGCCCCAATTTCCCTCCATCATCGCAGTGTTTCCAAGAGGAAGACGAGGAGCCCAGCTGCCAAGCAGCTGGAGTCCCATTGTCAGAGACAGAGAGGCTACCTGGCTGCTTTGCTAAGTAAGTCTCCTCCATCAGTTCCCTTTGTACTTCTGGAGGTGGGCATCTCATCAGCAGCCCTTAAAGGATTCCATTGTGAGCCGGCATTAATTCCCCTCTCTGCTATTTGGAAGTGTTCATGCCAAGGTAACAAAAACCACAGAAGATGAAATGCAATTTTCATTACTTCTGCACTGAGCCCAGATTACATTTTGAATGGGAATTGCTCCCAGAAGGTGGGGAAGACATGTAGGGATCCATTTTGTTGTGCTGCAGAGGGCACTCCATTGCTTGTCTTGCTCTGTGCTTCCTGAGAAATAATAATAATAATAATAATAATAATAATAATAATAATAATAATATTGTGGTGTAGGCTAGCCAGGTGCAACAGCAAAGTTGTTTTCACATGACACATTAAGTTGTCAGGAGTTCCTAAATGGAAAGATCAATAATGATAAATGAGATTCCCTGAAAGTCGGCTTTTGTGCTACTAATGTTTCCCCGTAATAAGCAGCCACAGGGGAGGGGAAGCTGCGTTTGAGCACAGAGACAGGCAGAACAAAGGTTGGCAGAAAGGAAGGATCCCCGAGGCCCAAGGGGAGCAGCCGAACAGGGGCTTCGGGGAATCCTTTTCCTCACGCAAAGACAGAATGCTGGTCAAATCCCTGCTCCAAAGAATCTTCAGCAAGGAGGGCACAGCAGGAGGGGGGTGCATTTGATGAATTGTTTGCAGCTCTTAAAGGTGACCTTTAAAAAAAACACACCAAGAAAGCAGCAGTCTGGGATAAGGGGGTGGAAATGGCAAAGGAGCAGATTTTGGCTGAACGTTTGGAGACACTTCCTAATTGGAAGGGCTGTTCAACAGAGGAACAGGAAGGGCCTCAAGAACAGGGGGGCTCTCCTTTGAGGGAATTGAGGGGCCTTTTGCCAGAGATGCTGAAGTTGCGCTCCTAGACAGAGCAGCAGGTTGAACTAGATGATCCAGAATGTCAGGGATTCTTTTGCCATGATTCCTATGTTGCAGAGGATTGGACTCGGCGATCCTTGGGGGTTTCTTCTAACTCTACACTCATATGATTCTATGATCTCCCAGGTCAACATCCAACTCTTGATTTTACACACACACACAGAGAGAGAGAGAGAGAGAGAGATCCCATCCAGCACAATGCCCTTAATGGCCACAGGCCACTCAGCAATACAGTGGTACTTCAGGTTACAGACGTTCAGGTTACAGACGCTTTAGGTTACAGATTCCGCTAACCCAGAAATAGTACCTCAGGTTAAGAACTTTGCTTCAGGATGAGAGCAGAAATCGTGCTCTGGCGGCACGACAGCAGCGGGAGGCCCCATTAGCTAAAGTGGTGCTTCAGGTTAAGAACATTTTCAGGTTAAGAACAGATCTCCAGAACGAATTTATTTAGAGTTGCCAACTATCCAGAACTGAACGTTTTTCTCCTAACCAGTTTCCAGACCAGGAAGATGGAAGGTCAAAATAAAATTGTATGATCAGCTGGCTTTGCTGTTTCTGAACTTTCATTATGGTTTGTATTTAGAAGAAGAAGAAGACGGCCTTCAAAGTGTGGTTTTCTGCACATGCACTACGGCACGTTGTCCTTGCAAATGTTTTAACTTTCCTTTGACTACAAAGTACTCTGCAGCACAGTCAAGAAATCTTTGTGCTTAAGAAAGATGTGTGTCTTAAGAAAAGAAAGGAATTCTCAGAATGAATTCTGCACGTGCTCTGTGACACCCAGTCCTTGCAGTTTCACCGCTTCCCATCTGAAGGCAGAAAGCACTTTATTTTGCACTAGTTTATACTCCTATCATTTTTATGTGCAGTCGCCAAGGCCATGCTAAAAACTAGGCTGTGGGACATAGATTGCAAGGAACTAATCTCAGCTGTGGAAAAAACATGTTCCCCTCTTTATTTTCGGCTCTCTTGGGCGCAGGAATTTAACCTTAATTATTTACAATTTTTGTTTAACCCTCAAGAAAGAAGGGCTTTTTCGCTGGCTAGGTTCAATTCTAATTCTTCTAACCTCCTTTGGGGTAGGTTTGTGGGTACGGCAGAAGGAGATAGGATCTGCCCATGTGATGCCCACCTGGTGGAAACTCTAGTTCACATGGTCCTTAAATGTAAAATGTATGATGATCTCTGCCAACAATTTTTAGAGCATCTATGTATCCCAATATGAAAACCAGAGACAGAGGTCATACACTTCTTATTACAGGGGAAAGATCAGGAGCTCACCAAGACAGTAACTAAGTTCCTCTATTTGATTTTTTGCCACCAAAGTATGCTACAGGATCCTGCCCTTGCTGGAGACCCATAGAGGTGAAATAGAGTGCTTGCCTCCTCTTCTTCCCTTTGGCAAATGACTGTATTGTTGAAATGGCGATGAGATTGCACTGGCCTATTTATTCTGAATGTTTGTAAGTGATGCCAATAAAGGTTTGATGATGATGATGATGATGATTTTTGTGTGTGAAAGGATAAATATTATAAACTCACCTAGACATTCCCTTGGAGGACAGAGAAGCCAACTTGCTTAGCACAGGGACAGGGAAACTTTTGCAGCCAGAGGGCCGCATTTGCTCATGGACAGCCTTCCAGGGGCCACATGCAGGGGGTTAGACAAGATGACCCCTGAGATCTCTTCCAACTCTACAGTTCTATTATTCCTCCATCCTGGCAAGCAAGGGACATCATCCCAGTTCACAGTTGTATTCTGGCCCTGCAAAAGCAGTCAAGGAGGATGTGGAGGAAGGGAAGGGGTGTGGACTAGCAAGGGGTGTGGCCTGTGGATAGTCCTGGGGACCTGATAGAAAGCTCTGAAGGACCACGTTTGGCTCCTGGGCCCGAGGTTCCTCACCCCCTGCTTTAAGAGAAACTGCCCCAAGTCATGCACATTCTTTGCTTTGCTCTTATCTTTGCAGCCGGAATGTGGAGGCTGACAGAGAAATGGTGATGATGCCAAGCCTGCCTCAAAGGTTCGTGCGTGAGATGGAATTTGAATGCAGGGCTCCCAGGATCAAAGCCAACCTCTTATGTCTGGTGCCACACTGCCTCTCATGCTGAGGTAAGGACTGTGTGACAGATGTACTTGAGTGAACTTCACTGGGCTTCCTCAGAGGCTTTGACTTCTTCTGTGAAAGCCAAGGTGGGAATGACAAGTGGGGAGAGTGCTCTTGCCCTCGAATCCTTCTTGGGGGCTTCCCCAAAGCATCCGGTTGGCCACTGGGACGAAAGGATGTTGGACTAGATCGGCCCTCTTTGGCCAGATCCAGCAGGGATCTCCTTGTATTGATTGGTAAAAGGTAAAGGTAAAGGGACCCCTGACCATTAGGTCCAGTCGTGACCGACTCTGGGGTTGCGGTGCTCATCTTGCTTTATTGGCCGAGGGAGCCGGCGTACAGCTTCCGGGTCATGTGGCCAGCATGACTAAGCCTCTTGGTACTTATAAGTTAATTTGTTAGTAAAAGCTCAGACCTCACCATGTCTGCGCAGAGGTAAATCTTATGGAATTCAGTGTGGGCAATTCAGTGTCAGAGTTTGGGTCCAACATTAGTTAGTTAGTTAACATTAGTGAGTTGGGTAATTTATCAACTTCAATATTTACTTACTTATTTATTTGGCAAAATGGACATACTTCTTGGAAATAAGGAAACCACTAAGCAGTTTGCAAGAACATAAGTGTGACTTTTGACCATCAAGGAAGTCTCAAAGTGACTTGCAAAGATTACAGAGAATTTGCTTCAGCTGCTCCTTGATTTAGACTTTCGCTTTCCCCAGGGCTCATCTCCCTAATCACATTGCTTCATCTTACTCTATCCATAAAGCCACAAAAAGATCAAAGATAGAGAATTAACAGCATTGGTTAGGGTTTAATAGGATTTGCAATGTATGGGCATCAGGAAGCCTACTGCTGTCTTCTCTCTTTCATGTACAGAGGAGGTGGTGAGCACGTTCTCTACAGGGAATCCTTCCTTTGTCTGAAGCTCAATGATAAGTTTTCTGGCAGGTTCTTCTTTTTCTGTTTTCCACCACAAAGGGCTTCCATTAACAGACAAAGTATCTGCAAAAGACCCCTGGTTTGTTGGAGATGGTCCCTGAGAAGATCTGACAAATAATTTGCACCTCTGTGTTGTTATCTAACAAACACAATTCATTTGTGTCCAGGCAAAAGTAATGATAGCTGTATAGTAATGAGCAGAGTGTCTATGCTTTAATGAACAAAATTTTTTAAATGGCACAGCTCTGCACATATTTGATTCTGGCTCCACCCAGATGTCATTTAAGTGGTTTATAAAATCAATACATTATTAAAATACACAGTAGCAGTCCATTAGGTCATGAAAGCACCCTTAATTAAAATATACACTAAAACAAACAATTAAAACAAGAAAACCAGTTCTGGGAAATGTTTAAACAGGTGTGTGTATTCAGTAGCTGGTGGTATGCCAATGCTCATAGAATCATAGAATCATAGAGTTGGAAGAGACCACAAGGGCCATCGAGTCCAACCCCCTGCCAAGCAGGAAACACCATCAGAGCACTCCTGACATATGGTTGTCAAGCCTCTGCTTAAAGACCTCCAAAGAAGGAGACTCCACCACACTCCTTAGCAGCAAATTCCACTGTCGAACAGCTCTTACTGTCAGGAAGTTCTTCCTAATGTTTAGGTGGAATCTTCTTTCTTGTAGTTTGGATCCATTGCTCCGTGTCCGCTTCTCTGGAGCAGCAGAAAACAACCTTTCTCCCTCCTCTATGTGACATCCTTTTATATAGTTGAACATGGCTATCATATCACCCCTTAACCTCCTCTTCTCCAGGCTAAACATGCCCAGCTCCCTTAGCCGTTCCTCATAAGGCATCATTTCCAGGCCTTTGACCATTTTGGTTGCCCTCCTCTGGACACGTTCCAGTTTGTCAGTGTCCTTCTTGAACTGTGGTGCCCAGAACTGGACACAGTACTCCAGGTGAGGTCTGACCAGAGCAGAATACAGTGGCACTATTACTTCCCTTGATCTAGATGCTATACTCCTATTGATGCAGCCCAGAATTGCATTGGCTTTTTAGCTGCCGCGTCACACTGTTGGCTCATGTCAAGTTTGTGGTCAACCAAGACTCCTAGATCCTTTTCACATGTACTGCTCTCAAGCCAGGTGTCACCCATCTTGTATTTGTGCCTCTCATTTTTTTTGCCCAAGTGCAATACTTTACATTTGATGTAAATGCTGATGGGGCATCTCATATTTCATCAGGCAACCCTGGTGCCACCAGTCATTACAGCATAATGCAGACACAGATCCTTAAGGCTAATCTTAAAATGTCTTCACCTACCAACAGACTAAGCACCAGGTGAGCTTACCTGGGAAGAACATTCCATAGCTTAGGCGCAGCAACAGGAAAGACCCTTCTATGCAGTTAACATTTTATATGACAGCTGAATCATGTGTTTTTTCAAAAAGTTGCAAAAAGGACTATCTAGTGTGCTTCAGCTAGAGCAACCTCACATGTGTTCAGGAGAGTTGTTTTGATCTCATCTTCTGTTTCTTGTTCTTTTCTGTAGCCCAACCATGGCTGGAGATTCTAGAATCTTCATGAACCAGGACATGGAAATTGGCGTTACTCCGAGAGAGCATAAGAAGATTCCCAAGCAAGTCCGGGATGATGTTCCCATCGCCACTGACCGAACGCGTCTCCTGGCAGCAGAGATCAAGAAGCCACGCCAGCGCTACATGGAGAAAAGCGGCAAGTGCAATGTGCACCATGGGAATGTCCAGGAGACCTACCGATATCTCAGTGACCTTTTCACCACCTTGGTGGACCTCAAATGGCGCTTCAACCTCCTTGTCTTCACCATGGTCTACACCATCACCTGGCTGTTTTTTGGTTTCATTTGGTGGCTCATTGCTTACATCCGAGGAGACCTGGATCACGCAGAAGACGAAGACTGGATCCCTTGTGTCGACAATCTCAGCGGGTTTGTTTCAGCATTTCTGTTCTCTATTGAGACGGAGACCACCATTGGGTACGGCCATCGAGTGATCACTGAGAAATGTCCAGAAGGCATCATCCTGCTTTTGGTCCAGGCCATCCTGGGCTCCATAGTCAATGCATTCATGGTAGGGTGCATGTTTGTAAAGATCAGCCAGCCCAAAAAGAGAGCGGAGACCCTCATGTTTTCCAACAATGCTGTGATATCCATCAGGGACGAGAAGCTGTGTCTCATGTTCCGGGTTGGGGACCTGAGGAATTCCCACATAGTGGAGGCTTCCATCAGAGCAAAACTGATCAAATCCAAACAGACCAAAGAAGGGGAGTTCATCCCTCTAAACCAAACGGACATCAACGTGGGGTTTGACACAGGGGACGACAGGCTCTTTCTGGTCTCCCCTCTCATCATCTCCCACGAAATCAACGAGAAGAGCCCCTTCTGGGAGATGTCCCGTGCCCAGCTGGAGAAAGAGGAGTTTGAAATCGTGGTCATTTTGGAGGGGATGGTGGAAGCAACTGGTAAGCTATATGCCTGATATTTGTTCTGTCATTGCTAACCCTTGCCAATGTCAAACATGTTTCTAAATGATGTGTTATTCAGGTGTGTTGGACAGAAACTCAAGACCTGTAAGGCACAGAGAGGTTAGGCAAATCCTTCTGCTGATCATTGCTCATCTAAATAGCAGACTAGGAGAGGAATGGTCCAGGATGGGTGTCACAGGATGGGTATCTCACATTCAGCCATGCTCCCCATTCCATATTGTCGTACAATACCTGAAAGTTATGGGGGAATAAAACAGCTCTGCATGCACAAAAGTAATGACTAAATTAACTAAATTGGTCTGGTGAGTAGTGGTTTGGAACAGAGAAATAATTTTAGGATTTGACCTCATGATAGTATATTGGGTGGAGGAGGACTCAGATGGTAATATGTATTCCTTCACTTCAAAATGTGGCAAGCCAGTACTGCTGTTGAGGGGGTGGGTTTCCTCCTGCCCATTCTGTTGAATGGGAACCTGCATCCAATGGGCCCCCAAATCCTGGCCTGAAGTCACAACCTCATATTTCACTGAAGAGACCAAGGCATCCCAGCCAGTATATTTTAACTGAACTCAGGAGTGTGAATAACTGCACACAAAAGCCACAGTGTTCATGCGTGTCATATGCATTTTAACTTGCTTCACTTTAAAATACACATGAGCAATGACTGGAACAGAGTTAGTCATCAAACCAAAACAAATGTTAAAATTCTCAAATAATTGCTCATTTTCGAGTTTGCATGTGCAGATCCCAGATCTCACAAATGAAGCAAGTGGCTGGATTCTGTATTTCTGTGGCTTGCAATCAAAGTTAGTCCTACTCAGAGTAGACCCAGTGAACATAATGGGTGTGACGAACTTAATTTAATGTTAATGAGTCTCACAGGCACTGACTCCCTGGGGCCGAGGCAGTTTCAGCCCCCCCCCAAATGTATTTTTTGCGGAGGTTGGGCCCCCTCAACTTTGTGTGGGTGTTTGGCTTCACTCCCTGGCTCCTTGCATCCTGATGTCATGTCACACACACACACACACACACACACACACACACAGTCCTCTGGAGAAGCTGACACCTCTGATGCATCTACTCTGAGTAGAACCTAGTTGGATACAACCTTATGAAACTTGGGCTTATATTGAATGTTAGTCCTCCTCAAAGAAGACCCACTGAAATTAAGGAACATGACCTTATTGTGTATGCTCTCAGCAGAATTAAGTTGGGTACAACTTTTCATGATTCTTGTGTGTTCTCATCTCTTAGGGTTCAGCCACATTTCTACGATTGCCATTTTTTCTGATTCAATGGTAAACAGTGGATTTTCCTAGGGAAAGCAGTGGGACCCCCCCAAATTGCTCAGACATGGACAGAGAAATTTTGGACCTGTGCCTGGAAGTGTGGATAAGGATAAGCCGAAGGATAAGCCCAAAGATTTGCCATACAAAAGAGAAAACATGTCATGTGTTGTGTCTTTGTTAGCTCTATCTGCATTAAGGATTTAATGGCTCTCTCTGTTGTTTAAAAAAACCCCCAAAGCACATGATAGTTCCTTCAGGCACGATCCATCTTTCTGGACTAAAGCTAAGAATGGTCTGCAGAAACCTGATTTATCTCCTTCAGGGATTGGGAACCTGTGGCCCTCCGGAAGTTGTTGGTTTCCAGCTCCCATCAGCCCCTGCCAATGGTCATGGACAATGGGAGTTGTAGTCCAACAACATCTGGAGGGCTCCACAGGTCTCCCTTCCCTGATACAGTGGTACCTCGGGTTACATACGCTTCAGGTTACAGACTCTGCTAACCCAGAAATAGTACCTCAGGTTAAAGAACTTTGCTTCAGGATGAGAATAGAAATCATGCGGCGGCAGCAGGAGGCCCCATTAGCTAAAGTGGTGCTTCAGGTTAAAAACAGTTTCAGGTTAAGAATGGACCTCTGGAACGAATTAAGTACGTAACCAGAGGTACCACTGTACTCCATGGACTTTGCCTATAGGAAACAGCATTATAATGAGCCAAGTGGTTGTTCCTTAAAGGCCAGTGTTTTCTACTCTGAGTGGATCTCTGGCAAAGGTCTCTCTCATCTCCTGCTACCTACCTCAGTCCCACTGACGGGGGAAGGCGGGTGGGGGGGTGCCGTCCGTATCAGGTGTCAGCAGTTAGGGCGGGTGACATCGCTGTGCCACCCCCACTTGCTGTGTGGACGGTGCCCCCGAATGCTCACTGCGCGGGTGGCGGGCCACTAGGGATGATGCTGCTGCTGGTGGCTAGTGGCGCCCCCACTTGCCGCACAGGCGGCGGGCAGCTAGGGACGCTTGTCATGTGGACAGCTAGCCCCGCCCCCACAGGCCAGCTAGCCTTGCCCCCTTGCCGCTCCGGGTGACGGGGCAGGTAGCTCCGCCCCTGCTCAGTCCCACCCAACATGGGGCTGTCCTGTTGTCATTGGACTCCATCATGACTGGATTATGAGCTGAGATTGTGAGGGTAGTTCAAAACATCTGGAGGGAACCTGGTTTTGGAAATGCTAATTTAATTGACTGCTAGGGAATGAGTTTGAGGCTTCCTGCATGCAAAGCAGATGCTATACCACAAAGCTGTGAGCGTTCTCCACTTAGACTCTTCCCTGAACCTTCTGTCATTTAGATTTTCAATATTTATAGAAAGAGGGAACTTTTAATCTGCCAGTGTGGGGTGGCTTTGAATTCATAGCAGCGCTGAGAGCAGTGTGACCTGTGCTGTGTTTTAATAAGGCTGTGTTGGTTCTGGTCTTCTGAGGTATTTAACCATCTTCTGCAGAGAAGCTCACAGGCATCCTTTGATTAAAAAAAAATCTGCAGCAAGGGCCTGGTCCAGCCAGCCGGGAAAACAAAACTTTCAGTGTTAATTAAGCCCCAGTGGGGGAATTCAGGGTTGGCTCAGGGAAGCTCAGCCAGCTGGGAAGTGATTGGGCACACCTGAGACAAGACGGATGCTGGACTTGGTACAGGAGAAAATATGGGCCAGCTGTAGGTGTGTGTGTGTGTGTGTGTGTGTGTGTGTGTGTGTACACACACAAACACAGTTCAGGCCAGAAAGTTGAAATGAGGCAGTGATGGCAACCAACTTGGACGGCTTTAAAAAAGCATTAGACAAATTCATGGAGAGGGAGGGGGCTATTGATGGTCACTAGCCATAATGGTTATGTTCTGCCTCCGCAGTTGGAGGCCTCAATGCTTTTGAATATCAGTTGCTAGACACCGCAGGAAAGGAGAGGGCTCTTGCGCTTGAATCCTGCTTGCAGGTTTCCCACAGATTCTTCTAATGCTCTTACGTCTGCAAGCATGACATTTCTGGACCTAATGGCCAAAATTTTAAGGCATGAAGTTTTTCTCCAGAAAGCCATGCTATATGGCCTCGGTCCAGTATACCTGAAGGAGCGTCTCCACCCCCATCGTTCTGCCAGGATACTGAGGTCCAGCGCCAAGGGCCTTCTGGCGGTTCCCTCACTGCGAGAAGCCAAGTTACAGGGAATCAGGCAGAGGGCTGTCTCGGTAGTGGCACCCGCCCTGTAGAACGCCCTCCCACCAGATGTCAAAGAGAAGAACAGCTACCAGCCCTGTTTAGGGAAGCTTTTATTGTTTAACAGACCATTGTATTTTAACATTCTGTTGGAAGCCACCCAGAGTGGCTGGGGAAACCCAGCCAGATGGGCGGGGTAATAATAAATTATTATTATTATTATTATTATTATTATACACGGGCTATTGGGAGTTAGGAACTCCATTTCTTCTTGATTCACATGGAGCTGTCAGCAATTCAGACAAATGTCTGCACAGACTTAATTTAAAGAACATAGGAAGCTATGTTAGTGTTGTCTACACTGACTGGCAGCAGCTCTCCCAGGTTTTAGAGTCTCCCTCTAGAGATGCTGGAGGTTGAAACTGTGATCTTAAGTCTGCAAGCAGGTGCTCCACCTGGTTGACTCTAGCAACAGATTTATCCCAATTCCCACTGAGATCCTTTAACCAGAGTTGCTGTGGATTTAACCTGGGCTTGTAGGCAAGAGAAACCTAGACCCTGCCACATCTATTGAATTAGTTATTCTGAAATAATTAATTGTTGTCAGGGGTCCATAGTAACAAAGGAAGATGCACTAAACAGAGCCAGCCAGGTCACAGCATCACAGGTGTAGGGGTGTGTGGGTGTGCAGGATTACACCACTGCCCCAAGCTGCGCTGGCAAGTGGGCAGTGCTTTGTCACACACCGAGAACCCACCATGGGCTCACTTTTCCGTGCTTGCCACTGGGGCTCCTGAAAAGCAATGATTTGGCCCCAAATCCACACAACGGAGCCAGTAATTTGAGCAGGAAACGAGTTTCAGTGAATGTATCCGACTTACCTTGATGTGTCTGGCCAGCACCTGCTCTTCATACCCTGTGAAACTGGGGTTGCTCAAAATGTACTTACTTAAGAGGTTCTGGGAATATTCCAGAGTAATGCAATCAAAACTGGCTTTGCCTAGGTTGGAAGGCATCAGCAAACAACAACCAGAAAGGTCACTCGACAGCGCAGGGAAAGGCCGCCCTGTGTTTTCACAGCAGCTGCCTCTGTCTGCTCCCCTGTCAGTCATAGTTGCTGTGGCTGAGCACAGGAAGGTGGGAGCAGGCTGGATTTCACCTTGCATCTCTGGTTTTACAAGGGCGAAGGAGCTGCTTTTACAAAACTAAGATATGGGATTCTGGACAAGGCTATGGGTCAAATGGGCACTGATCATACCCACAGACCATGCATTTAATGCACCAGGCCTCCCCACCAATAACCTTGGAAACTGCAGTTTAGCCCCCTCATATATATACAGTTCACAGTACCCTAAAAACTATAGTTCCCAGGATTCTTTGGGGGAAGGATCCAGGAGCTTTAAAACATATGGTGTGGATCAGCCGACTTTCCCTTCGGCTATCGGAATTAGGCACTTTATTTATCTGTTTTCAGAATGAATTCTGGTACATTTCCCCACCCCCATTGGATGCAGAAATCTGATGCCAGGCTTCATGTTTCTAAAGCCATCACACACCTCAGTGCCTTACTAGCCTGGAACCCAAGAGCATAGCAAGAGCACTTCCATGTCAGACCAAGGTTCCACCTGGTTCATGGATGGCCAAAATGAAGACCTCCATATGTTGGGTTGTGGACTACAACTTCCACAAGACCTGGCCATTGGGCATGCTAGCTGGGACCGATGGGAGTTGTAGTCCAAAACATCCAGAGAGCAGCACATTGTCTATCCTGGGTCTAGTTCAATAATACACTTCCTATTGGGACAAGGAATGAAGCATTGCTCCATGATTGCCCCACTGGCCACTGTTAATCAGTGGTATTCTACCCCTACGTACATGGAGGCTCCATCATGACTAACAGCTGCTGATAGACCTCTTTTTCTCTAGGATCTCCCTGTAAAGCCCTGAATCCAATGTCTTTCTGGATGGAAACGTTCTGATGAACACAGATTTCTCCTATTTATTTGAATAACTCAATACAACACAATGGTTGTTCTTAAGGAATTCTCTCCCCTGCTGAAACTTCCATTAACTCTCTCTTGGAGGCTCCACGAAAAAGCCACTTCTGTGACCTTCGTACTGCTGAGTGCAAGAAGATACACAAAGAAAGTGCATTTGCAAAAACTCTCCTCTCTTTTTCAATTCACTTTAAAAAAAAAGATTAAAAGCAAAACTTGAGCCGTTGTGCTCAAGATTACTGCCTGAAACTTTCCGGCACTTGTAAGATTTCAAAAGAAGCCAGTTTGATCCGATTCCCTGCCTTGTCTATTAGGCAGCCGTGTTATTTATAGAAAAGGAGTGGCTGTTGTGCCTCCACAAGCAGTTCCAAATTTTGTCAAGGTGAGCAGAAGGAAAACGGGTCACTGTGAGAACGAAGGACATCAGAAGGTCTTGGATGCGGGATTGGGCCAAAGGGAGCCCATCTAGTCCAGCATCCTGTTCTGACAGCAGCCAGCCTGTTGACTCGATGGGAAGCCCACAAGCAGGCCCTGCACACAGCAGCCCCTTCCACAATTATGAGTCCCAGCAGCAGCTGGTCTCTAGGGGCATTTTCTGCCTCTGGGAGTAAAAATTGAACTGCCAAAGCTTCTCCCGATGTTATTGGGGACTGCATTTTGGAGGGAATTTGTCTCAATTTGCTTATATGAGGCAGTAGTCAGCTGACGCATCCTGTCAGCGCTAGCATATCTGCTTGCAAAGCACAACTTTCCCCTCTCTCCTCCCTGCACACACACCCAGATCTGCTCCAGAGTCTTGGGGGAATCCCTGGACCAGATTTAGGGGGTGCATGGGGGAAGTGAAAGAGAGGGGGAAGAATGTTCCACAGTTCAAGCAAGAAACCTTGCACTGTCTAATCTTTTTAAAACCATATAGGATGGTAGTCCTGTGGCAGTGAGTTCCATAGTGTAACTATGCACTGCACTGTGTCTTCTCTTGAGATGGATCCTTCGTCTGACCCATCAAGGTTCTTGCTGTGTTCTCATGACTGGAAGCAGTCAGTCAGCCACTGTGAGAGGACAGAGGAGCATAGTGAAGTGCCTCCTCCTGAGTCAGATCATTGGGACACCTGGCTCAGTATTGTCTACATTGACTCTCCAGAGTTTCATGAACGGTTCTCTCCCAACACTTACTTGGAGAGGGCACTGGAGATTGAACCAGAGAACATCTGCAAGCCAAGCAGGGGCTCTACCACTGAGCTAAGACCCATCTCCTCTATTAATACTATGGAAACAAGATGCTGGGTGATAGATGTTTTGGTCTGAGCCAGCAGAGCTCTTCTTATGTCCAGCCTTTCATAAAGAAGTTTGCAACTCAAGACTCCTTTGGTGGCTTTTTGAAAGGGGACCAAGGAGCGTGATCTCCAAGAGGTCCAAGATCTCACTGTGCACTGTGTACAAATCAATTTCCTCCTTTCACTGGCATTTGGTGACATTAATTATAGCTTCCACCCTTGACGTTGGCTGTCTTCAGCTGAGGCTTTCTGTGCATGCTTGGCAGGTTAAGCTGTTCTTAACCTCACCAAGAGCTTCTCCTCTCCATTTCTGACAATATTTCCCATCTTAGTTTTGTTTTATCATGACCATTATTATCACTGGATATTTTTAACAGTGTGGTCATCATTCTGACCCAAAAGCAAAGGACAGTGTACCAGCCGCCGATAATATTGCAGCACAACCAAGTGTGTGGGGGGGGACGACACACACACACAAACTCTAAAAGCTGGTTGTTTTGCAGGAGTGCAACCCTAATTTATCAATAATTCCTGCTTAGGGTGCCCAATACTTGGTTGGGTGATTATCTCCCACGTACAAGCCATACCATGCCATTCCTACTCACCATCTTAGGCTACATGGAGAAAGTGGATTTGTTGTTGTTGTTGTTTAGTCGCGTCCGACTCTTCGTGACCCCATGGACCAGAACACGCCAGGCACTCCTATCTTCCGCTGCCTCCTGCAGTTTGGTCAAACTCATGCTGGTAGCTTCGAGAACACTGTCCAACCATCTTGTCCTCTGTCGTCCCCTTCTCCTTGTGCCCTCCATCTTTCCCATCAGGATCTTTTCCAGGGAGTCTTCTCTTCTCATGAGGTGGCCAAAGTATTGGAGCCTCAGCTTCACGAACTGTCCTTCCAGTGAGCACTCAGGGCTGATTTCCTTCAGAATGGAGAGGTTTGATCTTCTTGCAGTCCATGGGACTCTCAAGAGTCTCCTCCAGCACCAAGAAAGCAGATTAAGAAAAGTTTTTCTCCCTCTCTCGTAACATTGGAACTCATTCAGTGAAGTTGAATGTTGGAACTCACTCCTGCAGGAAGCAGCGATGGCCACCAACCTAGATGGTTTGGACAAATTCATGGAAAAGAGGGCTGTCAATGGCTATTGGTCATGATCATAGAAATTGTAGAGCTGGAACGGGTCGTGCTAGTCCATGCTAGTCCAATGCTTTGCCCATCGTGAGGCTCAAACCCACGACCTTGAGATTAGAGTCTTATGCTCCTAATGACTGTGCTACCCTCAGGTTATGCTCTGCCCCCACAATCAGAGGCAGTGATGCTTCTGAATACCAGTTGCCAGCAACAGCAGAAGGGGAGAATGGCCACTGTGAAGTGGACTTCCCATTGAGGCATCTGATTGGCTGTTGTGAGAACCAAAGGCTAGATTAGATGAGCTGTTGCCCATTGGGCTGAACCAGCAGGCTCTTCTTATGTTCTTAAGTGAATGGGTGGTGATGGAGAGCAGGAAGAGGGCATGGACCAAGACAAGAGGAGCAGTGAGGGCCCCTGCAGGGATGAAGCCCTCAGCAGGGGCCAAGAATGTTCCCCCCTCCTCACTGATGGCCCTGACCATCAGCCGCACTTTGTAGCTTAAGAGTAAGCAGCAACACCACCCCCTCACTGGCTCCTCATCATTTTAATTGCGGCTAGCAGGTCCCAGACGCTGCTTCGGGTGGGTGCTCAGATAGCCAATTAAGACCGCGGTTGTTACGATGATTTTTGCCATTTGCGTTGCTTCATGAGCTCCTGTCAGCAGGATTAAGAGCTACAATATAGTCGGCAATCACAGGGGGGTAATGAAGAATATCTAAGCATCATCAGGGTAGCATCAACTGGATCCTAAGATTCAGCTGCATATGTGAAGTTCGTCTCGCCTGTTCTTTGACACATCTATCCAGCACAGCGGTGACGGGTAGATTTCAAGTTTTGCAGGATCAACGCTGCTGTTTTGCAGCGACCCCCACCGCCTCTGAGGTCCGCTAAATAACAAGGACCCATAGCAAAGCAATGTCCCAGGTGTGAGGCCAAGCTACACCTGATGCAGCTCTTCTGGCCAGTTTGATGCTGAAGTACAAAAGGAGTCATGAGGGCCTCATATTATGAACTGGTGCCCTGCACCACTTTCAGCTGAAAAGCAGTCTTTCTCTCTTTCTCAACTGACCCTTAGGTGCTAGTCACTGCAAAACAGCACCACCTTCATGGGAAAACAGCAGGCAGGGGAGACTTTTTGAGGTGGAAAACACTGTGTGGGGGACATTCTGAGCTGGGATCATGTTGTAGACAGGGACCTCAAAGCCACTTTATTATTTTTATTTCCCTTTAACATAAAAGTGGCTATTTTAAGCATAAAAGAGCCAGTGTGGTGTAGTGGTTAAGAGCGGTAGTCTCGTAATCTGGGGAACCGGGTTCGCGTCTCCGCTCCTCCATATGCAGCTGCTGGGAGACCTTGGGCCAGTCACACTTCTCTGAAGTCTCTCAGCCCCACTCACCTCACAGAGTGTTTGTTGTGGGGGAGGAAGGGAAAGGAGAATGTTAGCCACTTTGAGACTCCTTAAAGGGAGTGAAAGGCGGGATATCAAATCCAAACTCTTCTTATTCTTCTCTTCTAATGAGAGAGAGAAAGAGAAACCTGAATAATGTGGTGTGCAATCCAACCCTTAAAATTAAGGAAGAGAGTTCCTCAGGATACTATGCTCAGTTCTGGGATTTGTTTTCAGATTTAGGACTAAATTCAGGACAGACAAAATTCTTTTCCTCTTTTCTCCCCCAACTTTCTTCATTTCAGCTTCGTGTGTGTGTGTGTGTGTGTGTGTGTGTGTGTGTGTTCATAGAATCATATAATTGCAGGGTTGGAAGGGACCCCAAGGGTCATCTATTCCAACCCCCTGCAATGCAGAAATCCCTAACAGATGACCATCCAACCTCTGCTTGGAAACCTCCATTGAAGAAGAGTCAACTGGCTTCTGAGGGAGTCCACTCCACTGTCAAACAGCTCTTACTTATTCAGGACGGATAAAAGAAAGTACTTCATACAGTGCATAGTTAAAGTATGGAACTCCCTCCCACAAGAGGCAGTGAGGGCCACTGACTTAGATGACTTTAAAAGAGGACTGGGCAAATTCATGAAGGACAGGACTATTGATGGCAACTAGCCACAATGGATAAGTTCTGTCTCCACAGTCAGAGGCACCAGTGCTTCTGAATACCAATTGCTGGAACCACAGGAGAGGAGAGGGATCTTGTTCTCAAATCCTGCTTGCAAGTGTCCCACAGGCATCTGGCTGGCCATTGGCCTGATCCAGCAGGCTCTTCTTGCATTTGTAGTGGGAGACTGAGACTATTTGGGAAACACAAAGTCTGAAAAAGCAAGTGGGGCTGCCTCTGCTCTGAAGACGTTCTGCTTTGTTCCAGTTACTTGATGAATGACTTGGCTGATTCAATTAGAGAACATTAGAAAGTACCGTTTTGTCACCCTTAAGTCATCATTCCATATGATGAAACAGTCTGCACATCGTCTCAGACTTTCTGGCAGATACTGCCTGCCTGCCAAAACTCCCACCCAACCAGGGTCTTGTTGACAATTAGCCAGCCGTTATTTTTAGTGATGCTGACAAAATTCACAACTGAAGGACATGAAATATAGGCTTGAAGTGCAGAAATGTTCACTGCCTGGAAATACTCATTCTTATTGCAAAAATTTATCAAGCAGAAATGCAATGAGATCTTAATTAATTGCAGACTACCTTACAGGGTGATATCTTTTTGCAACGGCATTGGTCAACATTCATCAGATGAACCTGATGACACCATGCTCAGAACTGGGTGATGGAGCCTTTCCTTTCAGATGAAAATATTCCCAGTTGCCAAAATTAGCTGGACGTTTTAATTGGCGGGGACAGAGGAGTGGATCCATGATGTTTCTTGCTCCACCTCACGAGCCCTGCTACAAACAGTTTTCCAGAAGTTTCTTGGGAAAATTCTTGCATGTTTAGTAACTCATTTCATTTCTTGTGTGCAGAGCCGGCCTGCCCATGAGGCAGGCTGAGGCAGTTGCCTCAGGTAGTGGAACCCTCTGCCACCGGTAGAGAAACGGTGGTAGCAGCAGTGGCTTCTGGTGTGATCTTGTGCGCTGCATGAAATCTTGCCAAACCTCACTGAAATTTTGCAAGATCTTGGGTACTCCGCAAGATCTCACGTGAGCTCTGTAAGATCTCACCATATCCTGCCACTGCCATCATTTCATCGGTGCCACTGTGCAACCCAGAAAAATAGGATTCAGCTAGGGTGGGGTGGGGACATTTGACCTCCAGGCCTGAGCTTCCCTTTCTTGCTCTAAGACGCAAAGAGCAGAAGGTAAATCAGGGCCTACAAGTAGATCTCAAGATGTGTTGCTGTAGACAAGGACTTGTCCATGTGAGATGTGCAGAATTAATTGGAAGCTGAGCACCAATTACTTCCCAACATCTGTTTGAAGTGAAAAACAGAGGAACAATATTGACTTTTTCAGAGTCTGAGATCTCAGTCAGATTAATCAGTGCAAATGGGATACGATTGCAAGCCAATTTGGAACTCTTGAGGGAAAGGAGAGAAGCAAGCTTATTTGTTTCTGTGCTCACTGATGACCATTTGCTTATCACTGTATTAGCAAAGCCTTGGGGTTGCAGCCAATGCCTTCCCTACTCAGAAGACAGAAAGCTGGACTAGATGGTCCTTTGGCCTGATCAGGCAGAGCTCTGCGCCCTGCCATGAACTCCCTCGTTGGCCTTTAGGCAAGCTACATTCTCTCTGCCTCGGCCCCTCCCTCAGCTGCAATGCACGGCTAATTATGCTGACCTACTTTGAAGGGTTGCCAGAAGGATTACTGAGATAATGAAGGTGAAATGCATTCAAAACTCTAAAGTGCTATATAAATGTGAACGTGTGTGTGTGTGTGTGTGTGTGTGTGTTGAGAAGGAGGCTGGCAGGAAGGTCAATGGCCATACCAATCTATTTTAAGAAATGCCAGGAAGGCTGTTTGTATATCGGTCTGGAGTTACCTGGGGGACAGATGAGGCAGCCATAAGTTCAGGTTCTTAATTGCTCCATTGATTACATCCTTTTAGAAAAAGAGGCGGGGGAAGCAGGGAGCATTTTGCTCGTAGTGCAACAAGTTCCTGATAAGGGGGATTATGTCAGGAAATCAAGGCATCTGGTCGTGATGTAGGATATGATCTGGACAGGTGTAATAAACTCTGGGTTATGTGGTGTCTCAACCTGGTTTCGAATCTGCACGTGGGGCAAGGACCTGCAGCTAAAAAGTTGGTCGTGTAATTCTAAACCAGTAGGTGCCCTCTTGGTCTCATAATTCTTTCATTTATTTAGGAACATAAATAATAGAAAGATAGAATTGTAGAGTCGGAAGGGACCCCAAGAGTCATCTAGTCCAACCCCCCACAAGGCAGGACTACACAGCTAAAGAATCCCTAACAGATGGCCATCCAACCTCTGCTTAAAAACCTCCAGTGAAGGAGAGTCCACCATCTTCCAAGGGAATCTGTCCCAGGGTCAAGCAGATCTTACTGTCAGAAAGTTCGTCCTAACTCTGAGCTGGAATCTCCTGCCTTGTCAACTGACTCCATTGGTTTGGGTTTCCCCTCTGGAACAGGAGAAAACAAGCCTGCTCCATCTTCCATGTGACAGCTCTTCAGATATTTGACATCCCCTCTCAGTCTTCTCTTCTCCAAGCAAAATGTAGCCACTTCCCTCAACCATTCCTCATAAGGCTTAGTTTCCAGACCCCTGATCATCCTGGTTGCCCTCCTCTGCACACCTTCCAGCTTGTCAATATCCTCCTTAAATTGTGGTGCTCGGAACTGGACACCAGACTCCAGGTTCCTCTCAATATCAGTGCATTATACAACTCTCTTTTTCCTTTATGGAACATTCCACAGAATGGGGAGCCTCTCTCTTCTATCATGGAAATCAAAATGAGCCGAGTACGGACAGTTGCACAGATTTAATTGGTAACGGAGTCCCCAAAAGCTCCTGCTTTCTAACACCCTTTTGATGTAAGAAGTTGAACAATATTGACTTTTTCAGAGGCTGAGGTTTTAGTTAGATTAATTAGTGTAAATGGGGTACTAATTTTTACAACCATGCAAAATTATATTTCAGAGACTTTGATGCTAATGAAGGACACACACTGCCTAATTAGAGGAGCGATAGTTAGAATATTTATGACTCTTCCACTCGGGCAGGACAGCAGTGTCCACAGCGCCATCCCATCAGAGACAAGTCTCTTTGATCATCCACGTACCCTCTATGAGGGAAAATGGATTCCTATTTGAAGGACTAGATAACTTTTCAGCACACTTAAAAAAATAATTGCACTCAGCGTGTGAGTAGACAGAACTTAGAGTTAATAGAATCATGGAACCAAATGGTTGGAAAGGAGATCGGACCTCAACTTAACCCAATGCAGGATCCACAGTACAGGATGCAACCACAGGAATTTGCTCCACAAGAGGCAGTGATGGCTATCAACTTGGATGGCTGTAGAAGAGGATTGGAGAAATTCAAGGAAGAGGAGGCTATGCACATAATGCTTCTGAATACCAGTTGCTGGAAGCCACAGGAGGGGAAAGGGCTCTTGTGCTCAGGTCCTGCTCGAGAGTTTCCCACACGCATTTGAGTGGCTACTATGAGAACCTGGACTAGGCATGGGGTGATGGCCTTCAAGCCTAGGAGACACATGCCATCTTCCAGGTCTACCTTTCCTTCGGAGCTCTTCCCAGGCCACACCTCTCAATTTGCATCCAAAATTTGTCCTTGAACTTTCATCATAAAGAGGGGAGGAAGAAGGTGCATAGAAATTAGGATAATGTGCAAAGGTAAAATGGGCATCCATTGCCCCTCACACTTTTGCTTCTGACTCCACCCACTACTGGCAGAAGGTTGCACAGAGGGGGATGAGGACCTCAGGCTGAAAACTAGGACCAGAGAGAGCTGGATTCAAATTCACACTTAGCTATGGACAGTGGCGTAGCGAGGGTTGCCAGGACTCTGGGCTGTGCAGAGGGGGGCAGGTGGGTGGGAGGGAAATGGATGGAGTACACATGCACTTTCCACTGCCTAATGGCATCCACATCACCCAGAAGAGTCGTCCCATTGTCTGGAAAGGTCACTTCCTGGTTCGCATGGAGAAGCTGTTTTCAATGGAGCCCAGCAATGGAAGTGTGCAGTTCTATTTAGGCTGCACTGTGTGTTGACGTTTTGTGCCTCTAACAATTTTGTGCTTGGGGCAACTGCCCCTGCGCACCCCCATGCTACACCACTGGCCATGAAGCTTACTCTGATCTTGGGTGATGAATCAAGGATGATGATGATCAAGTTATCATCTGCACAGACTTTTCATGTATTTGACCCATGAATCTTTCACTCTGTGTGGTTTTTTAACTTTTGGTGTCATGTCAGCATAGCACATACATGTGCCTCTCTGCATTGCTCTCAGAGTGTTCCTTCAGATGGAAACTGCACATCAGACCTGACCCCTGGTGTCTCCAGTCCACTGCTGTGTGGGTTTTGAAAAAGGGGGTGGGGATAAAAGTCCCAAATATGGTGGTTGCACTGCAGGCAAAGTGACTGTTCCCGTCTGTCCTCAGTGAAGCCCAGCACTTCTCTCTTAGCACCGCCTCTCTCTGCCTCCGTTTTGTTTGAGGAAACAATTAACTGGGAAAATAAGAAATGCTTTGAGGAGCTCAGGCTGGAGAGAGTCGGCAGCTTCCAAAGCCAAGCCCTTAATGAAATCTGGAGCGCGCGAGGACACGGCTGTGCTGCTTCTGGAGGGACATTGGGGTTGCCAGGCGCCGCATCCCTGTGCGATTAACTCTGATGCACATGTACTAAAAAGGAATATCTGAATGACATTATGGAGCAATTACAACTGCTTCAATTGTGCTGGCTCCGGGTGTCCCCCTGGGGTTACAAGGAAGCAGGCTTTGGCAGAAAGGCAGCATTCAGGGCAGTGAAAGCTCTCCATTGTTCCCATCGTGAATGAAGGCTTACGGCCACTGATTTGGCTGTGGAATTCCAAATCAGAATAAGGATCTCCCTTTGGGGCAAGAGCTGTTCCAAGAACTGGCTGGAAGGCAGGCAGGCAGGGATTCCCCTGGGATGCTGAAGAACTTGGGAAGTCTCTTTTCCTTTTCCTCTCTGTGATTTTATCTCAGGGTCAAGCAGCCACACCAAGAGCACAGGTACAGCAACTAGAAAGCTGCCTTATATCCAGTTAGGCCCTTGAGCTCAGTGTCGCCCATACTCACCTGCCAGTGGCTCTCTAGGGTCTCAGGCAGGAAGTCTAGTCCCAGCCCCACCTGGAGATGCCAGGGGTTGAAACTGGGACCTTCTGCACGCAAAGGAGATGCTCTGCCACTGAGCTATAGCCTTTCACTGCCTACCGTGGAATAGAAAGGTCCAGGCATGTAGGTATGGTGTCAACAGGCCAGCCCTACCATTAGGCAGAGTGAGGCCACTGCCTCGGGTGACATATGGAGGGGCACAGGAATAAGGAGCTGCCTAATGCTGGGTCAGAGCATTGGTCCTTCTTGATTGATTTGATCTATTGTATTTCTATTCCGTTTTGCCTTCGAATGAATCCCATAAAAAACAGTGATACCAACAATGGGGGAATAATGGTTGTTAAAATTTAGCTGGATTTAGCTGAGATGGCGAAGTTGGCATGTTTGATCAGAGACTAGTCATTGTCAATATTTACTAAAGATTGAAAACCTCTTATAGACTTTTTGCACGAAAAAGAAAAGGAACTTACGGTATTTGGATTTCAGGATTGAAGGTAATATTGGTTTATAGAAAGTGGCTTTGTTGGGTGTTACCTTGGAGGGGATGTGCTGAACAATTTTCTATTTTTAGCTGACAGATGAAGAATCAGAAGTTCTCTTTTTATTCTTTTATTCTTTATTCTTTATCCTTTCTTCTTTTTCTTCTCCTTTACCTTCTCTTCTTCACTGTTTTTTTTATTTAGGCTAGTTTTTTTTAGCCTTGACAAAAAGATATTTGATCGTAATCTTTGTATTCTTTCTCAGATTTCAATAAAATCTATTTTTAAAAAATAATAATAACAAAACAATTACAGCCTCTAAAACACTATTAGCAAACAAGCAACTAAAAAAAATTAAGCTAAACACTATTATGTTGATACACACACTCTCCCCCCACCACCGCCCAATGACTCATAATCTTTTACTCTGTTCAGCCTGTTCATTTCATGGAAACACAGAAACACATCTGCTGCACAATGAGGGCCCTGCTCTAATATAAATACCAACAGCAGAGGTGTACTTTAAGTTATTAGTTATTAAGTTGAACCTGTGCCCCATCCTCCCAACAGGTGATGTTTGAGGTAGTCAGCAAGAGCAGCACAAAATCAGAAGAAATGCAACAACCTCCTTGTCCTTGGGCTTCCTCGGCTGCTGGGGCCTCTGCTGCTGTTGCTGCTGTTGCCAATAGCAATGCATGTCCAGCGGGTGGCAGCTGCAGAAGCTCAGGCTCGATGACCTGGGTCAACACTAAGAGATCTGGTGCCAGGCAGAGAAGCAGACTGGCAGTGGCACTCCAGATTGTTAGAAAAGGAACTTTCTCCCAGCTCTACCTGGAAACGACAGGGATTGAACTTGTGACCTTCTGCATGCAAATATAAATATACCCACAGCATAACTGGCTGTGTTTAACTATATAATTCTTTATACATCATATAAACATAACTCTCTTCACATTATCTAATTGAGTAGAAGCAATTAAGGACCAACATTTAGAACAGGAAATACAAATAGATCAGTTCTTATATACTTAATGTCCAAATAGAAGCTTTTGTGTTCCACATATGTACAAATGAATCCCTTTTTTTAAATGTGATGTCCAAATAAAAACTTTTTGTGTTCCACATTTGTCTTCGCGAATACCAGTGTCAAACGTAAGAACTTTAAGGAGCAGTACTTGCAGAAGATGAACTTTTCTTTGTAATGTTCCACATCTGCCTTTGCAGATGTTGGTTGTTGTATGCAGTTGCTGTATGCAGGTATCAGACGAAGGATACGAAAGATCTTAACATGTGCCTTTGCAAAATAGAGTTGTTGTATGCCGGTGTCAGACGAAAAAAATTAAACGTGACATGGATTCCCAGAATAATACCTTGTTTCGCCCTGCCGGTCTTCGTCAGCCGAGCATGCTCATATTTTGTGTATCAGAGACATGGAACGAGTGACATGGCGGATACCAAAGCAGATGCTCTAGCACTGAGATATGAATATATGGGCGTAAGTCGAGCCTTCTGGATGAGGCCCAAAGGGGCCCATGTTTTGCAGCATCTTGTTCTCCCAATGGCCACCCAGGTTCCTGTGGGAAGCCCACAAGCAGGATCGGAGTGCAAGAGCAACACCATACCTTCCAACATTTATCTGATGAAAATAGGGATGTCCTATTTTTTAATAATAATAATAATAATGATACCCCACCCATCTGACTGGGTTGCCCCAGACACTCTGGTGGCTTCCAACATATAAAAAATCATAATAAAACATGGTGTGACTTTCCTTTTGTATTTCCATTATCAAAGAATTGTGATCCGAAAATGTTCTGGGATTAATTTCTTTTTTTTTTTTTACTTGAGGTTCCAACTCTTTGGAAATCCATAACGATTCTATTCTTGAACTGCTGTTATAAACATAAGAATAATAAGTGAACCATTTGTCAAACAAATGTATTACTCTCCATATATCTATCAAATTTAAAGTTTGATCCAATACAAAAAAAAATTTGATGATCTGCCTTCTTTTGTACCTTTTTTTATAGCTGATCTGTCCTTTTCTAATGATGGAACTCCATTTAAGTCTCCCATTAAAATCATCTTTTGGTCCGTGTATTCAAGTAATTCTGTTTCCTTTTTTTAAAAAAAAACAACCCTGTTTTTTTCTCATATATTCCCACCAACATCACCTTCTCTCCTTGAATTTTTATTTGTATTATTCAGATGTGTAGTTACTTATCTCCTTAGCCCAGGGTTATATAACTCCATACCTTTCAACATTTCTGCAATGAAAAGAGGGAGGTCCTAAGGAAAGCAGGGACATTTTGGGATCAAATCAGAAACTGGGATGGCTTCGGTAAATCCAGGACTGTTCCTGGAATATAGGGACACTTGGAGGCAACACTCTCCCCTCCTACAAAAAGATAACACAAGGAAATCAAGAAGAAATTACAGCAGTATGTTAAACCATGCAAAAGTTAAAATACTAAAACAGCTTAAAATTCCCTCAACTTCCTGTCTTTCTTGTTGTTGTTTAGTCGTTTAGTCGTGTCCGACTCTTCATGACCCCATGGTCCAGAGCACGCCAGGCACTTTTGTCTTCCACTGCCTCCTGCAGTTTGGTCAAACTCATGCTGGTAGCTTCAAGAACGCTGTCCAACCATCTCGTCCTCTGCCATCCCCTTCTCCTTGTGCCCTCCATCTTTTCAGGGAGTCTTCTCTTCTCATGAGGTGGCCAAAGTATTGGAGCCTCAGCTTCACGATCTGTCCTTCCAGTGAGCACTCAGGGCTGATTTCCTTAAGAATGGATACGTTTGATCTTCTTGCAGTCCATGGGACTCTCAAGAGTCTCCTCCAGCACCATAATTCAAAAGCATCAATTCTTCGGTGATCAGCCTTCTTTATGGTCCAGCTCTCACTTCCATACATCACTACTGGGAAAACCATAGCTTTAACTATACGGACCTTTGTTGGCAAGGTGATGTCTCTGCCCTTTTAAGATGCTGTCTAGGTTTGTCATTGCTTTTCTCCCAAGAAGCAGGCATCTTTTAATTTCGTGACTGCTGTCACCATCTGCAGTGATCATGGAGCCCAAGAAAGTAAAATCTCTCACTGCCTCCATTTCTTCCCCTTCTATTTGCCAGGAGGTGATGGGACCAGTGGCCATGATCTTCGTTTTTTGATGTTGAGCTTCAGACCATATTTTGCGCTCTCCTCTTTCACCCTCATTAAAAGGTTCTTTAATTCCTCCTCACTTTCTGCCATCAAGGTTGTGTCATCTGCATATCTGAGGTTGTTGATATTTCTTCCGGCAATCTTAATTCCGGGCTTGGCTAAATAAGGATGTTTTTCGCAGGCACCGAGAAGCTCCTACCATTTATGCCATCATCACCCTGGTTGTGCCAGAATGCGGATGCTTCCTTGACCTACTTATTAGGAGAAGAACCCCGAATACCAGCCCAACCTCCTGCTTCCTGAGCAGGGCCCACTCGCCGCTTCAGAACATCCTGGGCTTCCTTCCCTCCTCTAGCACATTATTTTTTCAAAGCAGCCTCTGCACTTCCTGGTTCCTGAGCTTGCTGAGAGCCAGAATGCCATGACTAACACTGTTCGTGCCCAGAAGTCTGCTGTAACAGAAGCCTCCTCTGCCAGCCTGCCGAAAAGCGGTCCAGCTCCGCATCCTTCCTTTTCTCTCTTCCCCAGCATGTTCTCTAGAAGTGGCTTCATCTGCTAAATATATGCTTATTACATTGCTACCCGACTTTTTCTTCCCATCATGAAATTCAGAGTGAGCCTGCACACACTGGTTTACCTGCCCGCGAGATCACCTTACCCCATATATGCCCACTCAACCACTTTGATTGGAGGAAATGGCACTGTTACAGGTGCCACAGAACCTCAACTCCAAAGATCATGTAAGAACTCGATCTTTCAGTATGGTGGCAGCTACACTTTGGAACTCCATGCCACTTGACATCATGGTGCTCTTTTCAGCACCTGCTAAAAACATGGTTTTTTTGCATAATAATAATAATAATAATAATAAATTTTATTAGGCTTAGGCAAGCCTGTCCAGATGTTTAGAATCCGATGCGAGTTTTGATCTATATTTTTCATCTATTGTTATTTTAACTTTGTGAAAGTTTTAAGTTATCGTTAATCTTTCTTATTGGTATTTTTATTGTTCCATCCTTTTTTGTAAACTGCTTTGGGGGGGATGGTGTGGTTTTTTTACAGTCAAGCAGTGGATAAATGTTATGAAATAAGTAAGATAAATAATATATACGACCCAATCCTGAATCTGAATTGGGCCAATTGGGGCTCTGGCTGAGTCAGGTTGAGGCAATCCTGGATCGCTCTGGGTTGGGTTGGATTGGGGGCCCTGGAGCAATCCAGGGAATCCAGGTAGTGAGGGCACGGGGTGGAGAGAAAGAGAGTCAGGCAGCCTCTGTGAGCAACACTGGGCTGTTTGCACAAGGGCTTTTAAACAGCTCTGCACTGTGCTTTGGCTGCAATCCCTTCACTCTGCCCCTGACCAAGGCTACCCCAATCCATGGTGCTGTTTGAGGCAAGTCAAGAGGGTGCTCCCTGCCATTCCAACCTGGTATAATAATAATAATAATAATAATAATAATAATAATAATAATAAATCTGTTATTTGTACCCCGCCCATCTGGCTGGGTTTCCCCAGCCACTCTGGGCGGCTTCCAACAATAGATTAAAAGTACTGTATGTTAAAACATCAGTCATTAAAAACTTCCCTAAACACGGCTGTAAATTAATCTTGCTATTATGTTGGTGGTGGGATAATGTCTTACGACCTCCTGAGGACAGGCGGCTAGCTTAGGGTGTCTAAGGAAGGTCACATGGCACCCATGTGACTGGCACCCAACATATCTGCCGCCTGAAGCTGTTACCTCACCAAAGAGAACGATAGGGACCGCAGCCCTCATGAAGTAGTCACAGAAAATATACAGTGGTGCCTCGCAAGACGAAATTAATTCGTTCCGCGAGTTTTGTCGTCTTGCGATTTTTTTCGTCTTGCGAAGCACGGTGTCGGGAAAGTTTTGGAAAAGCTTCAAAAATCACCAAAGTCTTTAAAAACCTCAAAACAGGCTACCACACCGCATTCTATGAGTTGCTCCTCGAAGTCAAGTCGCAACTGTATTAACGGTGTTAAGAAAAAGGAAACAAACTTGCAAGATGTTTCTGTCTTGCAAAGCAAGCCCATAGCGAAAATCGTCTTGCGAAGCAGCTCAAAAAACAAAAAACCCTTTCGTCTAGCGAGTTTTTTGTCTTGCGAGGCATTCGTCTTGCGAGGTACCACTGTATGTGTTTGTCCAGTGAGAAAACAGCTAGTGCACTTAGTAGAGAGAAACCAAGGGAGAGATCCTGAGGTTTTGCAGCAAAGCTGCAGGAGGAGCCTTGGCCATTTAAGTCCTTTGTCGTGTCCCAATCATCATATGCTATTGAAACGATCTTCTTGTGCAATCAAATGTCCTGCTTTTGCTTGCCAAGAGGCATGGTCAGTTCATTGATGCTTGTGCTTTTTGTTGAAACATCAGGAACCTTTAAAAATATAAAATACTACTACTACTAATAATAATAAGGCTTGTTAAGCAAATCATTTTTCCATGTCCTGAAGCAATCAGGTATGGAACAACCATGAACTGCTTTTAAACTTGTTTAGAAAAGGAGGGAAGTTTAGAAAAGGAGGGAAGTGTGAGCATCTAAGGCGGCTTAACATTAAATCCCTTCTTGTCCCTTCACCGAATCCCCATCACGACTCTCTCTCTCTCTCTCTCTCTCTCTCTCTCTCTCTCTCTCTCTCTCCCTCGTCTCTCCCCTTCCTCCAGGAATGACTTGCCAGGCTCGGAGCTCCTACATGGACAAGGAAGTGCTGTGGGGCCATCGCTTCACTCCCGTTCTGACCCTGGAGAAGGACTTTTACGAGGTCGACTACAACTCGTTCCACAGCACCTACGAAACCAACACGCCAGAGTGCTGTGCCAAAGAGCTGGCAGAGTCGTTCCGGGAGGGGCACCTGCTGAGCCACCTGTCCAGTGCCAACCTCTTGGGGGGAGAGGAGTCGGAGAAGTCGAAAGAGGAAGAGGGGGAGGAAGAGGGGGTCGTCCAGGAGAAGGACGGGAGCAAAGAGGAAGGCCAGGAGCCAGCTGAGTTGAATGGAGCCAACGGAATGGCAGGGGAGCTGAAGGACAGCATGTCCTTATAACACAGATTTGGGTCGAACTATTGAAAATTCAGGTGCATCTACCAGGGAAGGGGCCCAAGGAGAGCTGGGAAGGTGGACTTAAGACTAGAGGACCATGCTCTCATTTCCAGTTGTGTGACTGAACTCAGACGGGCCTGAACATCTGTTTGGGCTTCTCCCTTCTTTCCTGCAAAATGCAATTACTACAGGGACTTACTCACCACTTTGAGATCCATGGACACCAACAAATGTTCTAGACGAGAAGTATTATGATTGTGATGACCTTAACTAATAGTGACGTTTCACAAGTGTGTGCTTTGAATGCCTCCCTTCTGGCAGAGGGAGGGCATGTATTGTGGGGGGGGGCCCTCTTTGGGGAATGGAATGTAGCTGCAAATCTTCTCCTTCATTAATTTGGTGGATTGTAGACACTAATTTGCTGAATAAAAAGAGAGGAATGGAGTGTGCGGGGGATAGAGATGCTTTCTAGAGACAGCCAATATGTGACTTTCCTTTTGAACTGATTCATAAGGTACATAATTAAACTGTGATGGCTATCAACTTGAATGGTTTATAAAAGAGGATTGGACGAGTTCATGGGGGAGAGGAATATTGATGGCTATTCAGCACCATGGCTTCACTCTTGGTGGCTACCTTCCCAGGGAGTCCATTCACCATTGAACAGCTCTTGCTATCAGAAAGTCCTTCCTAATATTGAGTTGGAATCTCCTTTCTTGTCATTTGAAGTTGTTGGTTCGGTTCCTCCCATCTGGAGCAGCAGAAAACAAGCTTGCTCCATCTTCCATGGGACAGCCGTATCATCCCTGAGCCAGGTGACATTAACAGTCCAAGCAAGACACTGTTGACACCATCTGAGTACTTTAACCCCATTTTTTCCTTTAAATGTCACAATGTATTAATGCGATTTCACTTCATTTAGAACTTTCTCACACCAATCCAAGGAGCGCTAAACAGTGACCTGCCAAACATGGTTAGCCTCAATATTTCCTCTCTGTATATTTCCTCTCCGAAAACTGCTGCCAAGCTTGTTTTCGCTTGTCAGGGAGGGAAAGAATCAAATCCTGCAATTGCCCAGATGCAACTTGTTTGTTCAGGCTTTTCTTTCCCATTCTTCCTCTGTGGCTGCCCCCTCTTCATATTGTTAATGGTCTTCTGCTGTCCAACTCTTTGAAATCCAAGCAACAGTAATGTTACACATAGTCATACAAATGGGATTCACGGGGTGAGGAATACATTTATGGTCAGAGAGGTGTCTTGCAAAATGTATTCTGTAGTGATCTGTTATTCTCTTCCTTCTTGAAACCTATTCCTCTGTGCAACAGAAAAACTGTGACAATGGGAATTGGACCTCACAGGGCACCCAGCCCAGGGCATTTTTATTCAGAAGTAAGCCCTGTGGAGTTCACAAAGGCTTATCCGCTGGTAAGTTTGCCCAGGATGGCATGAGGGAGGGAGGTTGGTGCTGAATTCTACACTCTGGCTTACACACATTTAAAGGAGCATATGGGAAGTGTGTGTGTGTGTGTGTGTGTGTGTGTGCATGAGAGAAAGGGGGAGTTTAAAGGGTAACAGGAATTATGACCAGTATGAATCAGTGTGGCCACAGCTTAAGATGGTTATTGACAAGCTGAAAGGTGTGCAGGGGAAGGCGACCAAGATGATCAAGGACCTGGAGACCCAAGCATTATGAAGAACGCTTGAGGTAGTTGGGTGTGCTTAATCTAGAGAAGACTGAGAGATGATAGGACAGCCATCTTCAAATAACTGAAGGGCTATCACATGGAAGACGGTGCAAGCTTGCTTTCTCCTGCTCCAGAGCATAGGACCCGGAACAATGGATTCCGATGGCCAGAAAGGAGATTCTGGTGAAACATTTGAAGAAGAAGAAGAAGAAGAAGAAGAAGAAGAAGAAGAAGAAGAAGAAGAAGAATAGTAGTAGTAGTAGTAGTAGTTTGGATTTGTTATCCTGCCTTATCACTACTCTAAGAAGTCTCAAAGTGACTAACAATCTCCTTTCCCTTCCTCCCCCACAACAAACACTCTGTGAGGTGAGTGAGGCTGAGAGACTTCAGAGAAGTGTGAGTAGCCCAAGGTCACCCAGCAGCTGCATGTGGAGGAGCGGGGAATCGAACCCGGTTCACCAGATTATGAGTCCACTGCTCTTAACCACTATACCACACTGGCTCTGAAGGGACCCAGAGGGTCGTCTAGTCCAACACCCTGCAATGCAGCCACCCCGGGGTGGGCTCGAACCACCAACCTTCTGGTTAACAGCCAGACGCACTGAGCCATTATGTCTCAAGTAAGACCAGTATTATTACCCCCATATTGTGTGATGTGCTGAGAGTTGGTGGTTTCCCTTAAGCCACTGAGTAAGTAAAATTTGAACCCAGGAGTCTCCTAGCTTGCATTCTGAGGTTGCAGGTTCAATCCCCATATAAGGTTAGCTGCATATTCCTTTATTGTTGGACTAGATGAGACTCAGGGTCCCTTCAAACTCTACAGTTCTATGATTCTTGCTCACTAAAGATCAATATCACTAACTTCTGGCATAGCAATTAGAGTAGACTAATGAGGGGGCCATATTCACACCCAGCCATAAAGTTCTCTGGGAGACCGGGGCCAGCCTAACTCTCTCAGCCTAACCTCCTTTGCAGGGCTGTTGTCAGGACATACTGGGAGGGGGTGATTCTGCATTCCCTGAGCTTCTATGAGAAACAGAAGGATAAAAACACAATAAATCCCTCTACTTGAGTGCTGTTGTTTGAGGGCTGAACAACAGTGGCCACAGAGTACCAAGTCATGGAAGGAAGGGTTAAGAGGAGGCAGAATGAAATGGAGTATCTTGAAGCAGAGCACTGACCAGGAACACCCCCACACTGCAACATTTTGTTGCAGCTTCCTCTTCTTAAATAAGCCCCAAGAAGCTCTGCTCTCATTGGGATGCCCTTCTCCTGGACATACAACACTTTTGAACAAGAGATCTTTTTTCCAGAAATAATTGGCAGGGATAAGTCTCCTGTGCCGGGTGGTGTGGTGTTCAAGCAAGCCCATTCCATCCACCACTGGGTGTTATATCAGAACTGCGTTTTTAAAAATCCCATTGCCAAACCCCAGGTGTTTCTGGAAGGAGTTAAAAAGATCTGCCAAAAAACAAATAAATCACAGCAGCCTCCTGCTCCTTCTCTGAGCTCTCAGGGGTACAGGACTTGTGTGTTTAGAGACATTTCCAGGGAATTTGAGCTTGCACAGAAATGTCCTAATTGGCAAAGCACCAGTTCGTTGCTTCCAGTTTCCAAGAGCATCTGAACCACTGTGGGAATGGGAGTGAAACGAGGTCAGTGATGGGGCCTCCGCCCTGACAAATAAATCTTGAACCTCCCCCCCCCCCTTGGAAAGGGGTGTTCATGGCACAGTTTGCATTGTTCTCCTACTTAAGAGGCTTGGTGTAGCCACCAGAGGGACATGTGGCTCTTATGGCGATGGGAACAAAACCAAAGCTGGATTTTACATATTGGGGTGGGGCACTGAGACCTAAATCTGGATGAAAGACAAAAGGTAAGCTTCCTCTGCTTTCAAAATAACTTTCTGGGGAAATGTTGGCTTCACACACACACACCCCCAAGCCCAGAAGCTCTTGCAGAATAATGGAGTGTGAAACAAAAGCCAGCCTCTGCCAGGCAAGAGGGAATTTGCAACTATGGAAAGGCACAGCTAAGCGCTGCAAGAAAGACAGGCTTGTCTGCACAAGAAGAAAAACAAAAATGCCCCAGTGATTCCGGGAGGCAGGTGGGCTTACTGTGTGACCCCAGGGAAGACGGCTTGGGAGGCTGCACCACCAGGCAGTAATGGGGAGGCCTGGTAACAGCAGAAGAGGCTGCTGGATCAGACCCAAGGGGACCCACTTAGTCACCATACCCTCAACATTCCTCAGATGAAAAAAGGGACATTTTGCACTCCCCCCCAACTGACCCTCCTCGACCCCTCATTTTTTGTCACACCCCTCCCCAGCAGAGCATTTCCTATCACCAACAGAACACAGCACACACACCCTCCACCTTCCTGAGAAAGCCTCTTAATTCCAATTTTATTCTATTTTATCCTTGCCCTCTGCCCGCCCCTCAGAGCCGGCGTGTAGCGTGGGGTTGGGCCTTGGTGGCAGAAGCCTCTCCTCCTCCTTGCCTGCTCTCCAGCAGCCACTACAAGCTGCCCAAGGGAGGAGAGGCCACAGGGTGCTCCTTTGCAGCAGCCACTGTGGCAGTGGAAGGGGACACAGGGGCATTCCAGAATCAAATCAGAAGCTGGGATGGCTTTCACAATTCTACAGAACTGTCCCCAGAAAACAGGGACACTTGGAGGGTATGCTAGCCTAGAGCAGAGATGGGGAATCTGTGACTCTTCAGACATTTCCGGACTGCAACTCCCATCAGCCCCACTCAACACAGCTGATAGTCAGGGGTGATGGGAGTTGTAGTCCAACAACATCTGGACGACCACAGGTTCACCACCCCATTCATACTTTAGGGTTAGGAAGAGGAAGACAGTGAGCTGGGGGCAGCGACATGCACTTTCCTCCCCCCCCCCCCAGGACCCAGAAGAGCTGATCACAATATCATGCATTTGCCAAGAACAGGGGAAACATTTGTGTCATGCAGTTGTCACCTTGGTGAGAGAACAATGCTGATTCGGCTGGTGCCTTTGGTTCTTGAGCATGATCTGTAAGGCTCTAGCCTATTTAGCAATTTCTGAAGTCTGTTCAGGATGGAGAGGATCTAACAACTTGTTCCAGGGACAAGCTCTGCCATTGAATTCCCCCAGCCCACATACCTCAGAGTTCCTTACTGCCCATTTACTACTGAGCATTTTTCTTACCAACGGGAAGACTGAACCACTGAACAGCGAGGAACGGAGAGAAGACATTTGCACTGAAATAACTGATACCTTACGATAAGCTTCAGATGCTACATGGCTGGCTGTGTCAGCTACAACGATGTGGCAAACAGGCACATTGCCAGAACAGAACAAATAACACCAGCCATTGTCGGAGGTTGTGAGGCTTTCTTCATTAAGGCGGAGATAAATTTGACAAGCTGTGAATAACATTGCCTCCACTTTGGGACAGCAAGGCCGTACCAAGGATGAACTAGCACTGCTACAGGCGCCAAATAATACCCCTTCTGTACTTGTAAGAACGAGGAATTTGCTACCTACTGTCTTCCACTGATCTAAAAGGAAGGAAGGAAGCAGCCTTGTAAGCACATCTGCAAATCGACGGGTGCTGATGGACAGCACTTTTGCATCTCTTTTGCACAGGAACCCTAGTTCTGTCTAATTGTGCTGTGTGCCACTTTTGATGCAAAGATGGATGGCAGGCAGGGCTCTGCAGCAGAAGATGGAAGTTTTAAATAATTGCAAGGCAAAAAACACAGGTTAATAAGCAGAAGAGAAAAGGGCCTCTGGCTGGGCTGGATGCCCGAGCAGTTGATAAAGAAGCATGAAGCCAAACAAAGGATCTCCCCCCCTCACCATAACAGCTCTGTGGTGTTCATTTAATTAAGCCGTGTGTGTCTACCCAAAGAGAAAACAGCAAAGTCCAGGTCAGGGTCAGGAACAAAGGACACTTTAATTACTGGCAGTGCATTAGGTTAGTATTGAATGTTGCAGAGTCTTATTTGAATGGGAAAGAAACCATTTCAGCTGCAACTGAATAATAAAAAAAGGAAACAAACTGTTCTGTTCTGCATACTGGAGACCTGTCCACATTTCAGGGTCTTATGAGCTCATCTCCATCATGTTGACGGGTTGAGAGTGAAAGCAGGGGCTACTTGGATGTTCCTGTTTGCATCTTCCACATAATGCCCAAATGGGGAACTTCTATCTTTACTTCACTGCCAGTCGTTGGTGCTGTGCGATGCCCCATGCGTCTCAGACACTTGCATTCAAATCCTGGTTCTGCAATGAATTCATGAAGTGCCACTCATGCCTTGCATTTTTGTAAAGTGGGGGTGTGACAAACAGATGCATCATTACTGCAAACTCCTCAGGGAGCTATGATTGGCTTCACCTCCCTGCTGAGCATCTGTTTAGTGGCAAACGTGGGTTTCCCTCTCCATGATACGTGAGAGTGGCCCCCAGTGGCCTTTGATCTAGCTCTGGGTGGCCTTTGATCAAAGCACTCTCATTTATAAAGTTGCAATAAATCATTGTCATCATCATATCCAGACTGCACACTTCCACAGATTCTGCTGGCCAATTACTCAACAAGCCATTTAATTGTGATACATTGACTCCACGTTTCCTGTAGCTAAATTAATGAAAAAGAAATTTAACTTTACATTTGCATCTAACTCGCTCTCAGATGTTTTGCATTTGAAGGTAAAGACACTCTTCTGTTTTGAAAAGTCACAGTGTTCTGTTGAGGTCAATGTACCATAAACTTGGCTCTTCCTGATGGAGTTTAATTTTTGAAGCTGTTGTTCACAGAGGTTTGAGTAAGCCTTTTCATCTGCAAAGCATTCATGCAATGCACTGAATAAAGAGAATTTGGGCCTTGGAATGCATCAGGGTTAATCAGCATCAGCACAATAGACAATATGATATACTCCATAAGGAAGGAATTTGCATCTGTTATGATTTGCTTGTTTGAAACCACCCCCACATCAAAAAATCATCCTACAGATGGAAAGCGAATGTGCCAGGCAGAAAGCTAAACTAGACGATTTCTCCTTGACACCTTAAGTTGTAAAGAGATATCAGTGTGGGAACACTTATAAACCTGCAGTTCTTGGCATGTGCGCAGTTGTGGTAGAGTCCCAAGAGAAGAGAGTGCCACAGCAGAAACTGTGATAGGAATCAGCTTTGAATTTCACCCCCTGAGGGCGCATCAAACATTGCATGATAACTCTGCAGATCAAAATTTTGAACCAGGTAGTATCGCTGACCAGAGTGAGGTCTTGTCAACATATAACACCTGTGCTCAGAGATCTGCACTTCCTGCTGATTTGCTACCAGAACAAGTTCAAGGTGTTAGTACTAGTTATACTGTCCTTAACATCTTGGGACCAGTTTACCTGCGATATCGCCTTACCCAACATGTGCCCACCCAACTGCTTTGGTCAGTGGAGCTGGCACTACTGCAGGGGCCACATAATACCTGTTCCACATTTGTAACAACCCGGTCTCTTAATGTGGCAGCACCTACATGTCAGAACTCCCTGCCTATTGATATAAAACATGAGCCTTCACTGTACTCTTTTGGGCAGCTGCTAAAAACATTCTTATTCAGACAAGCCTGCCCAGAGGCTTAGAACAGGGGTAGGCAACCTAAGGCCCGGGGGCTGGATGCAGCCCAATCACCTTCTCAATCCAATTTTAAAAAGCACCTTGTTTCTATATGGTATGTGTGAAATAAACAAACAAACTGGACACAGTGATGGTTTAGTACATGTGTTACCATTCTAGAAAGAGCACCATACAATTGCTGGCTGGTGAACTAGTATCCATGAGAGGGCTTATGACTTCTGTCTCTATGGCATGGGTAGGCAAACTAAGGCTCGGGAGCCGGATCCGGCCCAATCGCCTTCTAAATCCGGCCCGCGGACGGTCTGGGAATCAGCGTGTTTTTACATGAGTAGAATGTGTCCTTTTATTTAAAATCCATCCCTGGGTTATTTGTGGGGGATAGGAATTCGTTCATTCCCCCCCCCCAAAAAAAAAAATAGTCCGGCCCACCACATGGTCTGAGGGACAGTGGACCAGCCTATGGGTGAAAAAGGTTGCTGACCCCTGGCTTAGAAGGTTGGTGTGAGTTTTAACCCGTTTTAGTATTTTAGCTTACCGCATGTTTTAAACTATTGCTGTGATTTTCCCCCCTTGGTTTTCTTGCTTTATCTTTTTGTGAGCCGCTTTGAGGGTGTGTGTTTTTACATTCAAGTAGTGTAGAAATTTTTAAAATGAAATGAATTTGACACAGATATATATATAGAAAGACTGTGGCTCCATGGGAGAACAGCTGCTTGGCTTGCAGAAGGTTCCCAGTTTGATCCCTGGAACCTCCAGAGAGAGCTAGGAAATTCTTCCTGCCCAAACTTTGAAGAGCTTCTGTCAGTCACTGTTGAACCCTGGAAATACTAAGCCAGATGGATGATCTAAGAAGAACATAGAATTGGTATTCATATACAAGCAACCATGTATATATATCCTAACCAGTTAAATATTCTCAAATTTCCTGACCAGATTTTTTTTTTAAAGCAGGTCTTTTTAAAGGCAAGATGTATTACTTAAGGGCATAATGCCACACTTTATTATTATTATTATTCAAGGGATGATTTCTGTATCCATGGAAACTTGGGCAGGAGCAGCCTTTGCATGATGTATCAGTTGCTAATAAGGAATATATTCCTATTTCCAGGAAACGACTGCATAAGATATTTCCAGGCAGGACCTTTGTGGCAAGCTTTAAAATTACCATAATGACCACTTATCTGCCAACAGACATATAGAAATTCACCTGCAGCAGGTAGTTCATTGGATGGATGGATGGATGGATGGATGGATGGATGGATGGATCGATCCATCCATCCATCCATCCATCCATCCATCCATCCATCCATCAATCCAGACAACTGGTAAGCCATATACCAGTTTGCCAGAAATGTAAAGCCAAGCCCCATGATCCCAACATTTGCTCAGTCTCCCTTGTCTGTTTCATTGCAGCCAGACTCCTGCTTTTCAGCACCAAGGACAGGGGTCATTCAAGCTAATTCACTTCATATCCTAGAGTGCGTAAAGCGCAGGAATTTGAAGTTACTAGAGTCCCATTGAACACAGTAGGGTGTACTTCTGAGTAAACCACAGTAGGGTTTGAGTCCCACATTGGGCAAAATATTCCTGCATCGCAGGAAAATTGAACTAGATGACCCTTGTGGTCCCTTCCAACTCTACAAATTCTATGATTCTATATCATGGGTAGGCAAACTAAGGCCCGGGGGCCGGATCCGGCCCAATCGCCTTCTAAATCTGGCCCGCGGATGGTCTGGGAATAAGCGTGTTTTTACATGAGTAGAATGTGTCCTTTTATTTAAAATGCATCTCTGGGTTATTTGTGGGGCATAGGAATTTGTTCACCCCCCCGTATAGTCCGGCGCCCCACAAGGTCTGAGGGACAGTGGACCGGCCCCCTGCTGACCCCTGTTCTATGTAATCAGTAGGGTTCTATGTAATCAGTAGGGTTGTGCATTAATCCCCCCCCCAAAAAAATTACGAAGTGAAATGGGGAAGATTCTCACATTTCCAAGTCAAATCATCGCATTAACAAGCCTTTTCGGGGTAGATCAGGGACTCCCCAGGCTTCTGAGTAGCTCTGTGGCTTTGGCAGTCCATTTCAATCAATTATTCTTTTGCAAAATGAAGCTGAGCTAACTGGGTCAGCAAGGTGCAAACCACATCAGCAGGAACACCCTGCTCCATACTGGCCTCCCCTGCTCTACCCCCTGGTAAGCAGCAGTGACACAAGCAACCAGAGGTAAGCTGTGTGCTGCTGTGCCATCATGCCACTTGCTACTGGTGGCTGAACCTTGTGGAGGAAGGAGCTACAGTTGCATACTTTGCTCAGCATCGATGCCTTTTTCCTTCTCTGCTGAGCAGCTGATGGTCAGGAGGAAGCCCACAGGGCCAGATAAAACCTGATGGAAGTTCCCCAAGCCTGTTGTAGATTGGGGAGGGGGCCTAACCTGTGGCCCTCAAGATATTGCTGGGCTCCAGCTCCCATCAGCCCCAGCCAACATGATCAATAGTCAGGGTTGTAATCCAGCAATGCCCAAAGGACTACAGGGCAACCCGTGGACCATAGGCCAAAAAAGGGGGGCACAGGGTCTTTGTGCCATTTTCTTTTTGCCCACCTGCCATCTTTCAGTGGCAGGCACTGCATCCCACCTTAATATCCTCCTGCTAACCAGCACGGTGTGCAGAAAATGTGTTCTCCACAAGCAGAAGAAATCCACTTGTTGTGTAACTTTTGCTAACCACTGCCTTTGGACTGGCCTCGGGGCAATTGAGGTTCGTGGCTTCCAACAGATGAGAACAGATTGTCTCCAGTTCTCAAACTCACGGGCTGAGATCAGGCCATCAATGAAGTTTGTTGCTTTTATATGTCAGGCTACCGGTTCCTCTAATTAAGCGTAGTCTCTGGCTTAATTCTGACTTTTCTTGACCTTTTCAGAATGCTGCATTTATCACTGATTCCTTCCCCAACGCATTTTGCCACATCTGCTTCTGCTCTAAATTCTGATTCTTCTTTCTGTTGTTGCTGCAAAGCTGGATTCTCAGGAGCTCATCTCACCAGCTGCCACACTTCTGTCTAACACATACAGATTCCTCTTCTGTTTTGAAGCCAAACCAACATGTCCCTCGCACAAGCGTTTGCAGGGCTGGTTTCTTCCCACACAAGCTGGGCAGAATCTGGAAACTATTTGGGAGTTTTTCTAGATATCATCACTAGGATCTGTCCATTTTGGTTTGACTCAGTTCCTCATTTTTCCAGTCTTACATTCAGTTTGCCACATTTCCACATTCGGTTTGCAAATGTCTTTTTCTTCATGAAAATATACCAGGAGTTTAGTGTGCATTTCTCCTATGGACATTTTTTGTGTGCACTTTGGCTTAACGTATACCATTTTTGGCAAGCGATTTCCCCCTGATATAATGCATTTCCCCCCTTATTTTCACTTACATGAATTTTTATCCATGCATCCTTATTCCAAATATACACATTTTTCTCCATTTTTTTGTTCAAGAACTGTACCCCAAAATTCAGAGAAATGTGAATTTCAAATACTAATCACCTTTTGATTCACACACTGTTCCAGAAGTTGCAAATTAGGTATATTCTCCATAAAAGAAGAAGTGAAATAAATTTCTCCCCTACCCCTACTCATTGCCCAAGGTAGAACTCTAGATCAGGATTGATCTCATCTGCATTTTTAGCCACTCTATTACCAAGACAGTGTTGGGATGGAAGATTATTTTGCCCCACAAACCACCACCACCCCATGAGTGGATGGTGCCTATAATAGCTAAACAAAAAATAATATTCCATAGCGACTTAAAGGACACTTCCAGATGGGCTGTTTATTCACACAAATTTTGGTTGCTATCCTGCACTTTGTAGAGAGCCAGTGTGGTGTAGTGGTTAGAGTATCAGACTAAGATCTTGGAGACCAGGATTCAAATCCCCAGTTGGACAAGAAGCTTACTGGATGTAACCTTGGGCGTCTGTCGCTGCCTCTCAGCCTAGGTTGTTGCAGGGATTATTTGAGAAAGAGAGAATCATGTATGCCACCCTGACGTCCTTGGAGAAAATGGGTGGGATATAAATGCCCAAAAAGAAAAAGAAATGCAATGAATAACTAGTGCAAATATTCCATCACTTTTCTAACTGCAAAAAAGTCCACTAAGAAAAGTGATGGGAATTTTCACTGGTGAGAACTTGTGAAACGGTGGATAAGGACCAAACGCTGGTGATGTCATAAAACCAGCATGCAGACGTATCAGAATGAATGCTCCATCGACAGGCAATTCTGCAACAACTGTGTTGGTGATGAGGAAGGCACATTCTCAGGTACTCTGCTACTATTCAGGGTTTTCTATCCTGATAGTGAAGTTACACCTCCCAAGGCCTTACAGGTATGCTGAAAGCGAGGGAAGGTGAGACACATCAACACAAAGAGGGCATCTCAGGACACGGTGAGTTATAGAACAAGTCAATGCACCAAAGCTATGAAATTAGGTCTCCATAAGAACTGTATTCAAATCCCGCCTATCCCTATTTCCTCAGTGGGTGACCTTGACAGCCCGCAGCCTCAGTTCTTTCTCTGTAAAATGGAGAATAAAAATGATCTTAAGTCAAGAGGTTACCGTCACAACAGCTGTAAAGCTCTTTTGACAATTAACTTGCCTCGCGGAGAAGAATCCTATTACAAAGGCTGGTGTTCTATGAATCATTGCATTTCCTCAAAACACTCTGTCTTCAGGAACGCTCCAACACAGCAAATGCTCATGAAACATTAGTGTGCAAGGAAAAGCGCTTCTATCTCATTGAATGAGCCTGTGGTTCTGAATTCTGGCTCTATGTAGGTGGGCATTGGGGCTGTCCATGCAAGTTGTTGGGTTAATGTTAAGATCTAGCGCATCAAGTGGATATCATAAATCAAAGAATCATAGAATGGTAGAGCTGGAAAGGGACTCTGATGATCATTTGGTCCAACCCCCTGCTGCCCTTAATGCTCACAGCCCAGAACACCTGCACCCAGAGGTTGCTGTCCCACTCCGCCTAATGGCACAGCCGGCCCTGGAGATAAAAACTGAGGGTGTTGGGCCCCTCATTAAACAGGCTTTAATTAGAAGGGAGGAATCGAAATGTCGGCATTCTGTTGTTCTGCGCTTCTTGCCTTCCCTGCTTCCGCTTGTAAAAGCTGAGGGTGGTTTAGTTAATACATCTGTGTGCATTTAATTTGCAAGTAGGAGGTCGAGCACAATAGGCTTCTGGCTTGCTCATAATATCTTTATTATTGTTTTTGTGGCTTTCTAATACAGCTCCTGAATTATCTTGCTACTGCAGTTGCTAGGGCTTGTTGGTGAAATATAATACTCATTGCACGCTCATGCAAACTTCCTGATTAGTCTCCCAGATGAGGAAAACAAACAAACACACACAGAGAGAGAGACAGACGTGCTCTCCTAGTCTAATTAATATAATACTCTACAAAGAAACTGATTTGTGATTGGGAATCGGACTGGCTTGCATTTCATACCTTTGTCTGAGCTGAGTTCCTCTATGTTTCCGGCCATGCAATTTCACCAGGAAAAGAGGAGCAAATGAAGGCAGGGACACCTCCCTGCATGATTCTGCAATAAGCATGGCAACATTAGAAATGGAAGGATGGAGCTCACTCAAAATACCTTATTGCTAATCTGCAGATTATTTGAATTGGGAGTAAAGATTTGTAGATGGAGGAAGTACATTTCTGCCTCAGGGGGTGCCTCTGCCTCTGCTGCAACCCTGGTACCAATTTCTGGTGAAATCTCGCCAAAATCGTGCAAGATCTTGCAGAAATCGGCATCGAGACCAGCGCTGCTTCTCAACCAGTGGTGGAGGGGGCAGAGCGGATGGCACAGGCAGAAGTGGCAGAACAACACCTCCCATTTTGCTTCAAGCAGTGGAACAGGAGATGCTTCCCCTGTCCAGCCAGCATGGCCAATGGTCAAGGATGCTGGGAACTGTAGTGAAGCAATGTCTGGGAGGCCAGACTGGTGGGGTGTAGGGGTTAGAATGTCAGACTAGGACCTGGAAGACCAGGATTCAAATTCCTGCTCAACCATGAAACTCACTAGGTGACCTTGGAAGCCACTTACTGTCTCTCAGAGCCTAACCTACCTCACAAGCCATTTTGTTTATGCCACACCCACTGTGGCAGACATGTTGTTTTATGCCACACATCCCAGGGCAGCCATTTTGTTTTATGCCAAATCCCCACCCTCCTTGTGGCAGCCATTTTGTTTTATGCCACATCCCCCCACAGAAGCCATTTTACAACGGCCACACTTTCTCAGAACTCCACATGTGCCAACAGGCCCGAAAAGTTTGGTGAGCCCTGAGGGAGTCAATACTTGGCCATGAGGGCAAGTAGTCTGGTCTGGTATAAGGCATATTCCAATGCAAATAGCTGTCAAGAAAGGAAAGTAGGTTTCTGCTCTTCTCCCACTCGTTTGCGCTTGCTCTGATTTCCCATTTCCAGACTCTGCCATTCTGTCTGCGAAGAGTGAACCTGCTGCCCTCAGTCTCCCTGCATCTTAATGTTTGCCTTGTTAGCTCTTTAAAACAAATGATCTGATAAAAGCCCATGAAAAATGGGAGGCTGGCTGTAAATATTCCGTGTAAAATAACCTCTCTGAAAAGCTGTCCTCTGCAATTCCACACAATTTTGCATTTTTATTTTATTTTTTTTTAAAAAGGCAGAAAAGGAAATAAGAGCACTTAGGCTTAATTCTGCTTGGCATGGGGTGAGAGTGGAACATGAATACAAAATGGACTTGGAGGAGATGAGCAGAATACCCTCTTGTTCATTACTGCCAAGATGATGGGAGCTTTCTTTTTCTTTTTTTAAACCCACTTAGGTTCATCCTAGTGATAGTATCAAGCCAGTAAAGGACTATCACACCCAGGTTATATTTCCTCCAGGGCTGCTTGCTTATTTGTTCATTAAAATATCAACAGCCCACCTTTCTGATCTAAGAAAACCACTACGGTTGACTAACAATCTGCTTAGAAATTAAGATTAAAAGGTGACATACAACTGGAACAAAAGTAGGACAGAATACAGAACAGCAGGAAACCAGGAAAATCCAACAGCTATCATGCAAATTGCTGTCAAATGAGCCTTTCCAATTATGTTCTGCGAAAGTGCCAAGCTTTTACTGAATGACGGAAGACCAGTGGTGAAGGAGCCAAGCCTACCACTGCCGTAAAATATCTTCCGCAGCTGGGAGGAGGCATTCAACAACTCACACCTCTCTCTTTCTCTTTTTTAGAAAAACATACATTTTGTTTATCACTCCTTATAGAATTGCAAAGCCCCTTCCAGTATAAAATGAACGGAATTCTCCCCACCCCCTCAACTAGCAGTCGAGATCCGTTCCTGCAATGAACCTTGGGAATCTTTTTCAGGGTGAGAGATGCATTCTACTCATGCAATGCTGTGGCAGAGTGCACTCCATTAGTGGGTGGGGCCAAACTCAAAAGCGGGCAGGGCCAGACCCACATAGAATCATTCATTCTTAACACAGACAGAGCTATTCAACATGGAAACAGGGACATATTTTGAATTCTTAGTAGCTCCAATCAAGTTTCATCTTCATACACTTTTCGAAATTTGAAAGATGGGGGGTGAGGTGGTGGGTGAGCAAAAAGAACTCGATAATCCCAGCAGACGAATGCAAACAGCTTCAATGCACACCTGAATGGCAAGCACTGCTTTACAGCTGTTCTCTTCAAAATGCAACTGCATCCTGAATTCTTTTCTTTTTTAAAAATGCAATTGCATCCTGAAAATAATTTGCTTGCCATTGCAGATGCATGACCCCTGTTTGCATACAGTGTTTGCAAGGAACTGTGGCTCCCAGTTGGCTTTAGTCTTCTTGTAGCAGATTTCCTTGCAGGGGAAGTTGCTGCAACTCTCACACACCACTATGTATGTATGCATGCATGCATGCATGTATGTATTTGTCCAAGAATTTACATCCTGTTTTTCTACAGGGACTGCAGACTGTCTTAGGGTGTCTGTATGTTGTATTAATCCCCGAACAATAGCCTGCCCTCTATTGATTTCAAAGGCAGGTGGAACAACAACAGTTTGTGGAATGCTGCCGGGCTCTGCCCTGCACTTGATTCCAATGCACTTGCATTTTCAAGAACCCATGTGGGACACACCTTAGGAAAACATGCTTTTATTGTGAGTGTTAGCAGTGGTCCTTTTAGCCCAGCACTGGGTACTCACTGACTGGCAGCAGCTCTCTGGGGGAAATGCTGGGGATTGAATCTGGAACCTTTGGCAAGCAAAGCAGATGCTCTTCATCTGAGCTATGGATGCCCCAAGAACCACCCACCTGCTCTCACTCAGATTAACTTCCACAGGGAGGGAGCTGGACCCTGATAACCAACAAAGTCAGGGACTCACATTAACAACATCTTAAGAAGGCATCTCCAAAGGCATGGGTAGGCAAACTAAGGCCCGGGGGCCGAATCCGGCCCAATCGCCTTCTAATCCGGCCCGCGGACAGTCTGGGAATCAGCATGTTTTTACATGAGTAGAATGTGTCCTTTTATTTAAAATGCATCTCTGGGTTATTTGTGGGGCATAGGAATTCGTTCATTCCCCCCCCCAAAAAAATATAGCCCCCCCCCAAGGTCTGAGGGACAGTGGACCGGCCCCTTGCTTAAAAAGTTTGCTGACCCCCCATCCAAAGGGATAGGAAAGGATCCCCCTTTGAAACACAGATTGAAAGCATTTCCAGTAAAGTTCCAGTTGTGGCGTCTTAGAATACCCAAAGAAAGCAGCATGTGGATTTCAACAACTTTTGAAAACAGCTCAGGGCTGGCCTCGGAGTTTTTGGCAGAAGCCAGTGTGTTAACAGGACTCCTGTTTCCTGTTCATTTCGCATCTTCTTATCAGGCCAAGGGGGCTTCCAGAACTGGGAAGTAGTTCACAGCTATTGCAGGAGGCGTCAAAAGATGTCAAGAGCACATTAGGTGGGAACAAGACCGCAGCACACACAACCACTTGCAAGTGTTAATCCCTTACTCAGTAAAAATAGAAGGTGGCAGCCGGGTGGGGGTGGGACAGGCAGTTCCAAAACACGAGAGCCCCCCATGCTCAGCCCTTGCTTAGGTCTCCCTACATCTGTGCAAGAAGTTGGGTCAGCACGTGGTCAACACCCACTTAGATGGCTTTAAGGGGGGGTCTGGCAAACCCATGGAGGATAAAGATATCAGTTGCTACTAGTCATGGTGGGTGGGTGCCATCTCCAGAATCAGAGGTGTTGTTGTTGTTTAGTCGTTTAGTCATGTCCGACTCTTCATGACCCCATGGACCAGAGCATGCCAGGCACTCCTGTCTTCCACTGCCTCCCGCAGTTTGTTCAAACTCATGCTGGTAGCTTCAAGAACACTGTCCAACCATCTCGTCCTCTGTCGTCCCCTTCTCCTTTTGCCCTCCATCTTTCCCAAGATCAGGGTCTTTTCCAGGGAGTCTTCTCTTCTCATGAGGTGGCCAAAGTATTGGAGCCTCAGCTTCACGATCTGTCCTTCCAGTGAGCACTCAGGGCTGATGTCCTTCAGAGGTGACATGCCTCTAAATACCAGTTGCTGGGGTGGGGGGACAGCAGGAGGGGGTTCCTATGCTTGGTTCTTGCTTCCTGTGGGCTCTCCTGTAATGCTGTCCTGCTAGAACTCATAGCAGTCTGTTTAAGCTGAATGATGAAAGGGAGAAAAGACAGGATTCAGGGGCACTATCTAGGTGGGGCTTTGGGATCCGAGCCCCCCCCCAAAAAAAAAATCAAGGAGGGGGACAGCCCCCATCAATATTCTGCAGCCTGGTGGTCCTTTTTATGGTGGTGATGGGCCTCAATGGGCCCACCCACAGCCCTGCCAGGTCTACCCGCAGCTATGGCAGGGCTCGAGGGGTGCAGCCGCAGAAGGCTCTGTCTGGCCACCTCCCGCCACATGACCTCACGCACACAAGTTGGGCAGAATCCAGCATGTGTGACAATTCACACAGAGCATCAAGAAACTACTGAATTCGCTTCCACAAGAGGCAGTGATGGCCACCCCTTAGGATGGCTTTAAAAGAGGACTGGAGAAATTCATGGAGGACTATCAGTGGTGAACCACAGCCATGACGGCTAGGCTCAGTCTCCACTGTTGGAGGCAATAAATGTGTCCGAAGGTCAGTCACTGGGGAGAGTGGTGTTGCACTCAGGTCCCGCTTGTACGCATCCCTGCGGGGCATCTGGCTGGCCACTGTGAGAAGAGGAGGCTGTGCAAGATGGGCCTGATCCAGCCGCAGGTTTCTCCTTGCATCTGGTCAGACATGGTGGTGGTGGTGGGGAGTTGCTGGACCAGGTATGGATTTTCCAGCTCTTCTTCCTACATTCGGCTACAGTGGTACCTCAGGTTACAGACGCTTCAAGTTATAGACTCCGCTAACCCAGAAATAGTACCTTGGGTTAAGAACTTTGCTTCAGGATGAGAACAGAAATTGTGCTCCGGCGGCGCAGCAGCAGCAGGAGGCCCCATTAGCTAAAGTGATGCTTCAGGTTAAGAACAGTTTCAGGTTAAGAACGGACCTCCAGAATGAATTAAGTTCTTAACCCAAGGTACCACTGTACTTGCCTACAGAAACAGAGGGTGTGTTTGGAGGGGAGGAGGGACATTTGTCTGGAGGCTGCCCTCTTCAGAGATCAGCCAAGGGTGGGTGGCTGGGTTTTGCCACATCTGAGAAGGCATCCCACCCATCCCCCAATCAGTTCCTGCCATCTCTCAGCTGAGAAGAGGCCATGTTGGAAGCAAGCAGGGGTGCAAGACATCCTTTCCCAGGAATACAGAAAATGGCTCTCATAGATTAGTGGCCTGTGGTGCGAGATGGCTGGCAGTGCATTCTGATCCAGCCAAGATCTATTTGGAATCCCTGCTTCCTGTCACTGTCACTCCCTGTGCTATCTTGTCCATTTGCTTTCTGATAAACCTACAGAGTCTCTTTAGACCTGCTCAACTGCTGGTACACCCCCCCCCCCAGTTTTCCTAATATTCTCCCGGTGGTTTAGCACACATACATGCAGGCACAAATCCGTGTCGAACGTGAATGGGGTGAGAGAACCTGCTTTGAAGACCATGTCACTTGCTGGATCTACCAGCAAATGTTTGCAGACCTCTGTGTGAGAATGGCCAGTGCACTTGCAAGTGCTCAGGCAGATTTGCACAGCAAACGTCTCTCACCTTTCGCTTTGCTGCCTCCCTCGTGCACGGGGTGCTACGCCAGCTTTTGTCTTTGCCTCACGTCGGGAGGGGAGGAAGATGCAGGCTGGTATCTCTCTCGGCTACGCAGGTTGCGGTCTCCTGAACGGGCAAGAAAGCAATGGACCAGGGTGGGCATGATCGAGACACTGAGCCAAAACACCATTCCCTTTGAAGTTTGCGGGCATTTTGCCAGACTTCAATGGGATCCACATTTGGCTGGGGGAGAATGAGCACTGAGAATAAAATTTCAGACACCCTCCGGCTATAGATGCACTTAGAGACTTTAAAGCACTTGCACAGCATCTAAATTTAGAAGCCGTGCTTCCCTTTCATTAAAAATTCTCCTTTATTTTATATATATATATATATATATATATATATATATATATATATATATATCTCTCTGTGTTCAGCTTCCTTACCACCAGATGCAGCTGATGCCTTAAAATGACTTCTCTTCTTATGGGCTCGGCCTAACCCACAGATTCCCCAGGCTTATCACCCTTCCTGGTACCTAAGAATAGAACATGAATGGAATGAGATCATGAGTAAAATGCAAACCTCAGAGCATGTTTTTCCCCACCACCACCGCCACCACCCCCAGTCTCCATCCTCCACCACCTCCCCCTAGTTATAGGAAGAAACCACTCTGACACAAGGCTGAAAGAGGATTTAGGGCAAAACAACAAACAAATCCAAACCTGAGCAATATCTTTCTTAGGACCAATCAAAGTATCACAAAACAGAGGCAGATTCTCTCCCATTGTTCATATCTTTTGCTCCTGGAGTCCAGAATCACTGCAGCCCTCTGGCTTCCTTCTGGTTTCATCCCTTTCTTCTTTTCCCCACTATACTATAGCTCCATCCAAGTTTTCTTTGCCAGCTTTATGTTATATACATAATAGGCACCACCCACCCCAAACACTTGCCCAGTTAGAAGAGCTCTTTCGAGTTCTGATTTCTATAAGGTTCTTGGTTTCTTCCTGGAGCAATTTCTGCACTGGGCCCTTATGATGGAATAGCCACAATTTGTTCACTCTCTTTTTACAAGGCGTTTGCATAACGTCATTACCAAAGCATCTTTTCCCCATTTTCCTCCAGTTTGGTATCCTTTAAAAAAACAACCCAAGAGATAAGAAAATCTGGCTTGTTAACTTAGGTGGAATCTATGCATATATAAAAAATATTGTGCATATGCTTTAAAAAAAACATTTTGAAAAATATATTGAATTTACCATAGCTCACAATCACCACCTAGTGTCACATTTGTATAATGCACATTACAACACACTTAAAACATTTTATTTGCAGCTGTATAGCTGAGTCCTTAGTAGAGTAGCTGTGCCATTTTCCCAGGTGCCAATGATCTTGCTCTTCTAGTTGGGTTCTGGATTCTGCATAAATTGCTCAGCCATTTTCCTTCTCTGTGGTCCACTTCTCTCTAGGCATCAACCCTATCACTTTAACCCTTCTTTTTCCATATAGCATTGCCTTTATGTCAACCCTTCACATACTCTTCCTATTCCATCACAATCAGGAGTTCGGTGGGAGGGTGGAGAAAATATTTAACGCAATACACAATTATCTCAATGCAAATTGTCCCCTTCCCAACATCTGAGGCCTTGGAAAGGAGGACTGCCCACTTGGTCAAAGAGGTGCAAGAATTTTGCAAGCAGAGTCACTATTCCACTACTGAAAGCAGAGCAGCAATGATCAGCTGCTGCTAAATTGCCCATGTCTCTAAGCAACTGTAGGTCTTTAGGTTTCATTTCCCTTGAAATGTCAGGTTCCTGGGCTGAACTTCTGAGCTTCAGGTGACTTTTTACAACCTCCTGGTAGAAACAGAGGCTCCAGGGTTGGGGGTTGGCTTTGGTAGCCCCCGAAGTTGTGGAACTCCCTCCCCACAGAGGTGAGTCTGGCAGGTTCCTTGTACAGCTTCGGGGGAAGGCTGATGTTTAGAATCCACCTTATTACTGCAATTGTAAATTGTAAGTTGATTTAGATTGTCTTTAACATTTTTAATTGCTTCAACTTGCCCAGGGACCTTAAAGTGAATGGTAAGTAAATAATGAAGAAGAAGAAGAAGAGGAAGAAGAGGAGGAAGAAGAAGAAGAAGAAGAAGACGAAGACGAAGAAGAAGAAGAAGAAGAAGAAGAAGAAGAAGAAGAAGAAGAAAAAGAAGAAGATCATTTTGCAACCAATAACAGGACCAAAAAACACCCAGCGAGGCAATTATTTTCCTTTGGATTTGGTGATATTTGTTCAGTTCAGAGCATCCTTGCAAGAAATCCAGCTGCCATATTATGAAAAGCGTTTTCTGCTTTTCACACCACCGACAGAACCCAGATTAACAAGTCAGACGAGGGGAGCTGAGGTAAGTCTCGTCTCCCATTGAGCTTTCCCACACAAAGCATCCAACTTTGTGACCTCCACTAATAGGGCTTTGTGGGATATGTAGCCTCAACTTCACTGTCTTATCTGGAAAGGTGGCCCCAAACACACACTGCCAGAAGCTGGTGACCTCACAAGATCTCTCCTTTTCCAACTCGACACTTTCCCTGAAAATAAGTGGAAGGGAGTTAATGAAAAGGCAATGCCACAACCTCACTGGAGACAGGCTGGCTGAGATGCTTGGAAGTAACAGTCTGACATTTATTAAACGGGGGGGAAACAACAGCCTCCGGGTTGTGGGCAGAACACTTTCCGGGCAAGGTCAGACAAAGAAAACCTCATTAGCTCTTACAGACTCTCTCCAGCACCCTAACAGCCATTGCTTGGACTGCAGAAAGGTTTGTGTGCGTCCCCCACCCCTCCCTTTCTAAATGCTTTGGGCTCTTTATTTCAGCAGTAACTGAGGCAGCCGGGACGCGGGTGGCGCTGTGGGTTAAACCAGAGAGCCTAGGACTTGCTGATCAGAAGGTCAGTGGTTCGAATCCCCGTAACGGGGTGAGCTCCCGTTGCTCGGTCCCTGCTCCTGCCAACCTAGCAGTTCAAAAGCACCTCAAAGTGCAAGTAGATAAATAGGTACTGCTCCGGTGGGAAGGTAAATGGCATTTCTGTGTGCTGCTCTGGTTCGCCAGAAGTGGCTTAGTCATGCTGGCCACATGACCCGGAAGCTGTACGCCAGCTCCCTCGGCCAATAAAGCGAGATGAGCACCGCAACCCCAGAGTTGGCCACGACTGGACCTAATGGTCAAGGGTCTCTTTACCTTTACCTTAACTGAGGCAGCCAGAGAACAAAGCATGCTGGGAAAGGCGGGCAAGAGTATGGATTCTCTGCCAGGTAGTTGTTACCTGCTCTGTTTGCAGAGCAATTCTGGGAAAGACACTCAAGAAGGTTTTTAGTTCAACACTGTTTCAGGATGGCTTTCAGAGGCAAATTAATCCACCACCTTTCCTATAGCTCAGGGCATGGAGAAACTGGATAGAGAACAGTTCTTCTCCCTCTCTTGCAACACCAGTACTCCTGGACATCTAAAGAAGGTGGATTTCAGAAGATTCAGCTCAGATAAAAGAAAACCCGTCTTCACGCAGTGCAGTTAACCTCTGGAACTCGCTTCCACAGGAGGCAGTGATGGCTGCCAACTTGGATGGCTTTAAAAGAGGATCCAACAAATTCATGGAGGAGGAGACGACTATGGGTGGCTATGAGCCAGGATGGCTGTGCTCTGCTTTCATAGAGGCAGAAGGAACCTGCGCTTGTGTGGCCCTGCTTGGGTTCTGAGATTGGCCACGGAGGTCCTGCTCAAGGGTCTGCCTCCAAAATCCATCAGATCATCAGGAAAAGGAGCAGGGCCTTGTCAGGGGTGTCCCCATCCTTATGTGCCTTTGCTACCCTGGATTTTTTTAAAGAGGCCTTGAAGGCTTGGGTGTTTCAGTCCACTTTTAACTGAGTTCACAATGCTCCTCTTCCTTTCTGTGAGCTTTACACGGCAATTTTTTAAAAAATAGTTTATATTGACACTGCTGTTTCCATTAATCCTATTTTATACTTCTATTGTTCCATCTCTCAGTTGCCTGGAGATGGCTTCTGCATGGAAAGGTGGTATAAAATATCATTGCTATTTGTTTTTTATTATTCTTATCATTATTATGATGATTGAAGTAGTTTTAAATCCTTGTCTAGCCATCCACATTTTGGCTTGCAGATCTGTTAAGGTTGCATCTTACCTGGGAGTTAAGTCCCTTTAGGGTAAACTTGCAGAGGACGGAGCTGAGGATGGGAGAGTCTGTTAATATTAGTTTCTCTCTGGCCCCATTCATTGAAGGCACTATGATACCACTTTAAACAATCATAGCTTCCCCCAAATAATTCTGGGAACTGTAGTTTAAGGGCGCTGGGAACCATAGCTCCACAAGGGGCTAAACTACGGTTCCCAGAATTGTTTTGGGGAAGCCAAATGTGACCTTCCAGGAAGTCAATGTGACCTTCCAGGAAAGGGGTAGGGTTTGATATATTTATCTATGTCCCACATTTCCTGTAAGGAGCTCAAAGCAACATACAGTGTTATTTAGTGACTGGCCCAAGTTTGCTCAGTGCGTGGGGATTAGAGCTAGGCCTCCCTGATTCTGGCCCAACACCCCAACCCAGAAACGCTGGACCCTTGGGCATGACCCCTGGGGCTGATGGGAGTTGGAGTCATATAGCAGCTGGATGGGGAGGTTGACACAGTTGTCCTGTCCCTGTTTTAACCACTACACTATACCCATGTTTCAAGAGCTCATCCGAAGGCTACCCCCATATGAGCACTATTCCTCCCTGTTGAAATCTGGATGTCCTTGGACAATGGACGAGACGGGAAGGGCGACGTGTCCCTATTTTGTCTTCTTTTCGGTGTGCTCTTGAGTTGTTCAAGGCTGAGCCTTCTTCAGACTCAGAGAGAGACTTGCTGGTCTCCATCATTTATGAATAAGGTGCCGGCAGGCTGATTCAGAGCTCAGCCTCTTAGTGATAACACTTCAGTTGACTCTTGGTATAAAATATTCAGGATACAAAATATGCTCTCATCCATGGGAAGAGCGGGATGTATTAAAAAAAATGCTACCTGGGCAACTGCTGGAGAGATGGTTCCTGAAGGGTGCTTCACTGCTAGACAAGAGCTATTCTATTTCTTTTGTTCTAGGTTTAATGGCCAGCTAATAAAGTCAGGTAGATGGGACAATTGATATATCATTGGAAGCCTGCCAGCTCCTACTCCCCACAGCCACTGCTTCAGACCACTTCTCTATCAGAGGAGCAGGGGCAGAGGAAGGGGGTGCAGTGGGGGCAAGTCGCCCCGGGTGTCACAATTTGAGGGGAGTGACAAAATGCCTGGCGGCACTCACCACAGGGCCTGCAGCGCGCTCGAGCCATGCATCTCTCCTGGGAGTGACGCGTGGCTTGGGCACCCACAGGCTCCGCACTGCCCCAAACAGTCTGCCCGCCACCTCCCCCTCAGCTGTAGGGCGGCTGAGTGGGAGGAGGCAGGCAGACTCCCCGGAGGCCCCACAGAGCGTCCTGCCCCAGCTGCCCCAGGCACCCAATCGGCTTGCTCCACCACTGCAGAGGAACACTTGGTGCCAAACAAATTCTGGGGGAATGACCCCCACCCATAACATGTTAAGAACATAGGAAACATCCTTAGCCTGAATCAGACCACTGGTCCATTTAGCTCAGTATCATCTACACTGACCAGCAGAATCTCTCCGGGATTTCATAGAATTATAGAGAGTTGGAAGAGACCCTGCAATGCAAAAACATGGAGATGTCCCCTACAGGGATCAAACCTGCAACCTTGGCGTTATCAAGCAACACGCTTGTTTGCACCACTAGTTATAACAGATTTCAGGCAAGTCTCTCCCAACCCTGCCTGGAGATGCCAGTGAGGGATTGAACCAGGGAGATGCTCTACTGCTGAGCTATGAGATCCATGCCCCATTACGATCGGTCTACCAATGGCTGTACATCGCCTGATGACTTGAGATTGGATTGAACATGGCCAACTGGATAGAATGCCTCCAATGGGAACTTGGAGGAGAATCGACATTCATTTACCCCCTCACACAGGGTCTTGTTGTAGCCTTATTGAACCCATTCCTTCATTGTCTCCTGGGACTGCTGGTCTTTCCAATAAGCCTGTCTTCCAAGCAGCATTTCAAACTTCTCCAACTTTATAGACATATCTTCTTTAATTCTCTGGCACAGGCAAGAAGAGCGCCATTGGAATCCTGGCAGGGGGCAAGGAGAAGACCGAGACTGGAGAAGCTTCAGCCTGTTAACTAGGAGAGAGCTTCTCAAGCGACCTATCCCAGTCAGAGCAACAAAGAGGAAAAGGCTCTCCGAACACATTAAAAAAAAAAAAACCTTCATTACTTTAATACATGTGTGTACAAGTTTACATGCAAACCTAGAATATCACACACACACCATTCAAAACTGATCTTCCTCTATATGAGTTTGGTGATGTGAACTTGAGGATGTTGAACATGGAGCAAAACACTTTCCATTTATAGGGTTTCTCCCCAGTGTGAGTTCGCTGATGTGCAGTAAGGTTTCGTTGATGTGAATTAAGTTTTTCACTTTCACCGAAGCTCTTTCCACCCTCTACGCACTCATAGGCTTTCTCCCAAAGCATCTTGGAGGGCCATTGTGACATTGGCAGCCACTAAACCAGGATGAGGAACCTGTGGCCTTCCAACGTCGCATCAGCCCTAGTCATTGTGGCCAATGGTAAAAAATAAATAAAAATGGTGGGCGCTGAAACCCAACAGCATGTGGGGAGCCACATGCACCAAACTCATCTTGGGAAACTAAGAATTTTCAAACAAGAAAGTTGGGGCCAAAACATTCACCCACCCACTTTACTTCTTCGTGCACTGCATAGTTAAACTGTGGATCTCACTCCCACAGGAAGCAGTGATATCCACCAACTTAGATGGCTTTAAAAGAGGGTTGGACAAATTCATGGAGGAGGAGAGGGCTAACAATGGCTACTAGCCGCAATGGTTGTGCTCTGCATCCATCATCTGAAGCAGGGATGCTTCTGAATGCCAGTTGCTGGAAACCACAAGAAGGAAGGGCTGCTGTTGTGCTCAGATCCTGCTTGTGGGCTTCCCTTTGAGGCATCTGGGTGGCCACTGTGAGGACAGGATGCTGGGCTAGATAGCCCCACCTGGGCCTGATCCAGCAGGCTCCTCTTTTGTTCTTGCGCAACTAATGCCCTTACTTATTATCATTTTGCAATCCTCATTTCCTAAAATTTGGTGACCATCATGCTGTTGTTACATAACCTTTCATATTATTCTATTCACAGAGCAAGGTTTCTTCCACCTATTTGTTAGGGGACCAATAACGGCTTGAGGAAGTGCTCTTGGGCTGCAGGTAAGTTTTAGCTGCAGGAGGCTCTGATGTGAGATGGACATCCACAACAAGACAGTTGTAATGAGTCCCAGGGGTTTAGCCGGAGAGATCAGCCTTTCCAGAAGTAACAGAGCAGCTCCTTGCAAAGTCAGCATTGCTGAAAAGGGGTCAAAAAATTGCTGATGGAAATGTAGAGATGCCCCCAACTTAAATGTGTGGCCTCAGCTCTTAAGAAACTCCAGAGCATATAGATTTGTTGAGATGTGTTTAGGCCGTGGGAGAGGACTACTTAGTTTTATTAAGAATTTAAAGATGTATCATGGCTGGGTGATAAATGCTCTGGACCTAAAGCCACCAGTCCAGATTTCTGTGATGCAAGAAAACAAAAAGCAAGCCCCTTCCTCTCCACAAACCTCTGGATCCTAAATGTGGTAAGCAGAATACACTGTCCAAATAAGGACATCAGTTTCCCTGGAATTTTTGAGCCAGAAGAGCATCACCTATGCCAACCCCTTCTAACAATTGATTTGAAACTTGGCTGCATTCTTTAGGCAGGAACCGTCATCACAGGTGTTGTTCCAGCAGCCTCTTGAAAACACCAAGGGAACAATATCCCACCCCCTTGTTCCACCCCCTGACCTTTTCCTGTAATATTAGTCCACATGAATTTTAACACCTGGTGCTCACAGGCAGCGAAGCAGGGAGGAGTGGGCTGAGCCACAAATAGCAGACCAGAGCCAGGTGTTGGGGCAGGTAAGGCTACAGCTCTATTGGTTATATAAAGAACAGGTTGGGCTTAGGCAAGGGCCACGGATCCAGCAGCCCACATGCTGATCCATGTGTCCTGCAGCCAAAGGTTAAGGCAGAAAGTCTTAGAGGTTAGAAGAGCAGGTGGGGGGGGGGAGAAAGAGAGACTGCCTTGGCTGCAGAGCAGACTAGGCTGAGTCTTCAGTCTGGTCTGCACCTAGATGCCATCCCAAGGAGTCCAATGCAGAAACAGAGTAGGAGACACCTGTAGGCAGTACAGTGGTACCTCAGGTTAAGAACTTAATTCATTCTGGAGGTCCGTTCTTAACCTGAAACTGTTCTTAACCTGAGGTACCACTTTAGCTAATGGGGCCTCCCACTGCTGCTGCGCCGCCAACAGGCAATTTCTGTTCTCATCCTGAAGCAAAGTTCTTAACCTGAGGTACTATTTCTGGGTTAGTGGAGTCTGTAACCTGAAGCATCTGTAACTCAAGGTATCATTGTACTGGGAAGTTTTTAAGATCTGACTTATGTTTTTATATGTATGTGCTGGAAGCCCCCCAGAGTGGCTGAGGAAACCCAGCCAGATGGGTGGGGTATAAATAATAATAATAATAATTATCTCCCTCAAGCAGGACCCCCACCCCCAAATCTGTGCAGGAAAAGCCTGCTGCCCCCATCCTTTGTGAGGCCACAAATCAGGCTCCCGGGTGAGTCAGGGAACTGGGATTTGTTCAATAACTGGGAGTCAGAGATCCTTGTTGATTTCCTGCAAATCGCCCAGCACCTCCATAAACTCTCTTATGCCCATCCCTGTCTCACACAACCTTTCTAGGCATTCTCCTTTTGCCTCTGATCATTTTTACTTCTATGAGAGGCCAGTCTTATTCCAGGGAAGCCTTCATGCTGGTTCTCCTTGGAGAAATTTGTACTGGATTGTTGTTGGGCATCCCGTTGTTTCCTGATTCAGGGGAAGGTTGCTTGCTTGCTTGCTGCATCTGAAGAAATCTGGGCAAGAGACACCAACATGGTCATAGCCACAGAGCTGGGACTCGATCCCTGGTCTACACCCAGCATTCCAGTCCATCTCAGGCCAGCAATTTTGACTCGTGATCTTTGGTCCTCCCATATAAGGTTAGCAGAGGACTTGTCAAATTAGCTCTTGGTGTTACTCCTGGGAGGGTTGCACACGTAACCCCCTGTCTCCTGCAGGGATGGCAATGTCAAAAGTGGTTGCCTGTGACTCAATCATGGCTAATGCTATCTCCGTCCTCTGCTGCTGCCCAAGATGCAGCAGAGTGTAAATTCTCCGGAAAGCGCAGATATTAACCGGGGAAAGTAAGAGATGCAAGATAAAGGGGAAACAGAGGCCTGAGTCGAGAAGCAAACACTCACAGCACAGTGCCCGGGTGGTCCCCAAGCATTGCTGTATTTTGGATGCCCGCCCTAGATCAACTCTACATCTTTAAAAGGCTGTGAGCTCGCTGAAGGGAGGAAGCAGCTCTGCTGCTTTTGGATGGCAGAACATGCCAGGAACATCCTAGAGGAAGTGTCAGGCTTCCAGCCAGCTCTGCGCTGGGGGAAAGAGTGAATTTCTGCCAGTTAAAGGCACACCGCCCTGCCAGGATAAATCGGTCACGGTGGAAAGGTGGCCACTGGAGAGAGCCATTTAATTCTATTTGCTCTGCATTGCCACAGGAGAATGAATGAGGCAGGTGCCATTAAATAGGATCAAAGAGGACATCACTGCATTGATAGGACAGAGCAGGCATGTCTCAGCTAAGGCCAGGGTACAGGGAGTAATCCAAGCAGGGATGCAGCTAAGGATGGACCTCAGAGCCCAAGTCCAGGGGGAGTCCCGGCCAAGGGGGACCACAAATGACTGGAAGCCCCCTTCCCCACGAGAGCAGCTGGGCATGCAGGGATCCAGCAAAGGTCCACCATGCCTGCTGGTGTGAACGAACTTTAGTGGTATGTACCGGTATATTAGGAGACGGGTGACACTAGGGCTTGCCGATCAGAAGGTCGGCGGTTCGAATCCCCGCGACGGGGTGAGCTTCCGTTGCTCGGTCCCTGCTCCTGCCAACCGAGCAGTTCAAAAGCACATCAAAGTGCAAGTAGATAAATAGGTACCACTCTGGCGGGAAGGTAAACGGCGTTTCCATGTGCTGCTCTGGTTCGCCAGAAGCAGTTTAGTCATGCTGGCCACATGACCCAGAAGCTGTACGCCGGCTCCCTCGGCCAATAAAGCAAGATGAGCGCCGCAACCCCAGAGTCGGCCATGACTGGACCTAATGGTCAGGGGACCCTTTACCTTTACCTTTTTACCGGTATATTGGCCAAAGAGCCACAGTTCCAGCAGCAGCGGAGGAAGCCGCCCGGGCACATGGGGTGGCATGCCCAGGGGCAGGGCAAGCTGCCCATAGGGGCAGGGTGAGGGCAGGGCCTCTGGAGTCTGCCTGCCTCCTCCCACTCAGCCACCCTACAGCTGGGGGGGAGGCAGTGGGCGGACCGTTTGGGCCCAAGCCACCTTGTCTCTCCCAGGAGAGACACGTGGCTCGGGCGCGCTGCAAGCACCACGTTGAGTGCCGCCCCGCATTTTGTCAGCCCCCAAAATGGTGACACCCGAGGCGGACCACACCCACCGCACCCCCCCTTCCTCCGCCCCCGAGTTCCAGAACACTACAGATTCTGCAGTGCAAAAGGAACATTAGAAATTGGGCCCAGAGCCTTAGCATTACAACCGGGAAAACTAGCACAATATTCCCCACATCTGAACACAACCTGAGACTTGGCATTGGTCCCCCTAGTTCAGTTCCTCTGCTTTCAGGACTGGGGAGGAGAGGAGAAAATAAAGAGGAAGAGCAAAGTAGAATGATAATAATAGCACCACGTTAAAAATAAATAAATCACAGCACAATTTCTGTGCAAAAGGCTTGTGGTAGAAGAGAGATACATGCACTCCTCTTTCCTTAAAGAAAAGAAGCAGGTTGTTGCAAGGAGGGCTGCTTTTCAGCTGGTTTCCTCGCAGAGCTGGTGCTCCTAATTCCTCTCTGTCCCTTCTGCTACCATGGGGAGAACAAAGCTGTAGGGAGAAGATAAGCCACAGTGGGGGGTGAAGGGACAGCCTTGACATGCTTATTCCAGCTGCCTCTCAGAGCAATCCAGCCGCAGTTCAGGAAGAGGCTGGCTGATGATGATGACAGTGATGATGGAGGGAGAGGAAAACCTGGGAGCAGAAAGAAGCCCCAGAGGTATGACGGCAAATACCCGCAGCCACCCTGGGGAGGCTGTGGATCTGTTTGAGCTAGCTCTGCTGTCGATTTGCGAAAGGAACAGCTGAGCTTTGATCCCAGGTGAACAGGGCTTGGGGAATTCATTTCTTTCTGGTTTCCTGGGATACCAAAAATGAGTACGAAGGCTTACAAAAAACACAACCCACATACCACAACTATTGTTCTCTTTTATTGGCAGGGCCCTGCATTGTGTGAGTGCAGGGCTTACAATCTCATATACCAAGGGTGAGGA